TATGAAGGGATGTTAAAAGGTTAAATAAAAATTGCTTATTGTAATAACTAATGAGGCAAAAAGGTATCTTTCTGTCATTGTGACAAAATGCCTGATACGAACTTTCTTGGTTTATTCAAGAATTTTATCACAGTAATGAGAAAAGTAACTAATACAGACACTTCCCACCCAAAAGCTTTGACAGAAAATAGTTTATTTTAGCCCATTGATGTCCTATGTTTCTTGTAGTTGGTTAGTCCCTGGCTTTTGTCCTTGTGGAGAAGCAACACACTTTGGTGAGGAGTGCAAGGTAGAAAAAAATGTGCTTACTTTGTGACACTTTGTAAATAAAGAGAAAAACGGGAGTGGCTGAGTCCCTGTGATTTCTTCTTTGCATCCCACCCATCTACCTTCCTTACACTAGACCCCCTTTTTTTAAAGGTTCTACCACTTATGAGTATACTACATGCTAGGGACAAAAGCCCTACAGCATCTATGAGTCTGTAGGCGAAAGAACATGCAGCAGTAGCCTATGGACCATCTGATACCATAGATAATTCAATGAATTTTAACTCTTTAGAGGTTCAATCAGGTTATATAAATGATTTTTATAGATAATTCTTTTTTTTAGTTTGAATCTATATGATTAAAATCTTTGTAACTTTATAAGCTATAAATACAGAAGCCATAGTTTTAAATATTAAGATATCCATGTACATTTAGATTATGTGACCAGGCTTGAAAATTCAAGTGCCAGACCTGGTAGCTCATGCCTTTAATCTCAGCATCCAGAGGCAGAGGCAGACAGAGCTCTTTGAGGTTGAGGCCAGCCTGGTCTACAAAGTGAATTCCAGGACAGCCAGGGCTGTTACATAGAGAAACCCTGTCTTGGAAAACAAAACCCAAAAGTGTGTGTGTGTGGAGTGAGAGGGAGCCAATCCTCCTTTTGGAGAAGTATTGACATTTTGGGAGGAAGTTGAACATGATATGTTATTGCTTTTACTTAAATGTTTTTCTTCCTAGATTTACTCCTTTTTTGTATTTTGCCTGTATGTATGTACATGTACCGAATGTATCTGTGGTACTCAGCTATTGGATGCTGTGGAACTGTGGATATGGATAGTTGTGGGTGCTGGGAACTGAACCCAAGTCTTCTGTGTGAAGAGCTAGTGTTTGCGATGACTGTGCCATTTCTACAACCCCTATTGACTTAACTTAAACTTAATATCTAATTCTGCTTGTATTTTTGCTTATGCTTTTACTTAAATTAGAAACGTGCATGCTTCAGATATCAATCCCAGCTCCCTCTCCCACCCATCCTCCCTTGTCCCTCCACCAGCTCCCCACCCCCAGCCCAATCCCCACATCATTCCCCAGGGAGGGTGAGGCCCTCCTTGGGTGGATCTCCAGAGTCTGTCATTTCATCCAGGGCAGGACCCTTCCCCATGTGTCCAGGCTGAGAGAGCACTCCTCCATGTATAATGGGCTCCCAAAGTTCATTTGTATGCCATGGTGAACACTGATCTACTACTTAAGGCCCCAGAGATTTCTGAATCCTCCTCACTGACACTACACTCATGGAGTCTGGATCAGTCCCCTGTTGGCCTCTCAGCCATCAGTCTGGGGTTTAAGAGCTCCCCCTTGTCCAGTCAGCTGTCTTTGTGGGTTTCACCAGCAGTCTTGACCCCTTTGCTCATCACTCCTCCATCTCTGTCACTGAGTTCCAGGGGGTTAGTTCAATGTTTAGCTGTGAGTATCTGTCTCTGCTTCCATCAGTCACTGGATGAAGGTTCTAGGATGGCATATAAAGAGGGACTGTTAATGTAGTATCTCCGCTATTACTTAGGTTTCCAGTTGGTGTTATCCTTGTAGATCTCTGGAAATCTCACTAGTGTCAGCTCTCTCCTCAAAGCTATAATGACTACAACTACTATGGTATCTCTCATCCTGGTCTCCTCTATTCTTACCCCACTCAACCCTTCCTGCTCCCCCATGTCTTTTTCTACCCTCCTCTTATCCCCCTCTTTTTTCCTGGTTCCCTCTCCTCTCCCCCAATGTTCCCAATCTGCTCAGATCTTGCCTCATTCTACTTCTCTGGGGTATAATGCGTATCTCTTGGGAACCTCCCTGTTTCCCAGACTCACTGGCCATGGGATTGTAGGCTGACACTCCCCTGATCCATGTCTAAAATCCATATATGAGTGAGTACATGCCATGTTTGTCTTTTGTGACTGGGTCACCTCTCTCAGGATGGATTTTTCTAGTGCCCTCCATTTGGCTGAAAATTTCAAGATTCCGTTTTTTTTTTTTTCCGCTGAGTAGTACTCCATTGTGTAAATGTACCACATTTTCTCTATCCACTCTTCACTTGTGGGGCATCTAGGCTGCTTCCAGGTACTGGCTATTACAAATAATGCTGCTATGAACATAGTGGAACAGACATCCTTGTTGTATGAATGGGCATCTTTGGATATATGCCTAAGAGTGGAATTGCTGGATCTTGTGGTAGACTGATTCCCATTTTTCTGAGGAAACTCCATACTGATTTCCAAAGTGGCTGTACAAATTTGTACTCCCACCAGCAATGGATGAGTGTTCCCCTTTCTCCACATCCTCTCAAGCATAAGTTGTCATTGGTGTTTTTGATTTTATCCATTCTTACAGGAGTAAGATGATATCTCAGGATTGTTTTGATTTTCTGCTTGTATTCTTAACAAACCCTTACTTTGAATTGTATTGATTTGGCTCGAACACACGAGGAGCAATTCAACATTTGAAAATTACTTTCCAGAGTTATAGTTGTCTTGACGTTTTACAAATGTATAAGCAGCCCAGATAAAAGACTTGAAATTGCGGTGGTAATGATTATGCATCTGTCAAATAGTCTAATTATATGAAGTTTTATTCTATGAGACACCAAAATTAAAGATACTAATTGACAGTTTATCATATGTGGAAATTAAATATGACTGTTTTCTTTGAAATAGTATTTTTGAGAAGTCTATATATTATATAAGTATGTTTTAAACCATGAGATTTAGAAGTTTCTATATAATTTATGTATTTGTGTAGTTAATTCTTTGTTACCCCATTTTTAATAGAACCATGAATAGACTGACCCAGCTGGAAAGACTGGATTTGGGAAGTAATGAGTTCACAGAAGTGGTAAGTCCTTACCAGTCTCACTAGCCACTAGTCTTAACATTTGTTCAGGGATACAATATGGAAATGGAAGTATTTCTCTTTAAAATTAGGAGAAGCTGCACATGTTTTTAAAGAAAATTCTTAACCTAAACTTTCCAGTCTGGTAGAAAAATTAACCAAAGGGAAATCTGACAAATGATAGAGGAAATAGATTATTTTGAGATTGCATTGAGGTCTGTCAGTTGAGTTTGTTCTCTGTATTCTAAGTGAACTGTACTGCTGAATTTATAAGAAATGGAGTCAGTATGCAGTTTTTGTATCTAAGTACATTCTCAAAAATAGCTCAGAAAATAAGCCATATGTTTTTAAAAGAGGTTTTCATTAACTGTGAACATCATATTTCAAATTTATGTTTACAAGTCTGTTCAAAATTATGTCAGCTTTCAAATGATAGTGTGTTAATAAGAATTTCTGTTATGGGCTGGGTTCATTTCAACCATAGTCAGTAGACTACTGTGATATCTGAGGATACCTTACACCTTTTCTAAAATACTTTTGCATATTCTTTAAAATTTTTTTATTTTATATGTATGAGTTTTGCCTTCATGTGTGTCTGTGTACCACTTTTCCCCCTGGTGCCTGAGGAGGTTGAAAGAGAATGTTGAATCCCCTGGAACTGGAGTTACAGGCAGTGTGATCCAGCATGTTCTGGACATCAAACTCAGGTCCTCTGAAAGAACAGACAGTGATCCAGCCTACCTTTTCATATTCTAATTAAAGATAATTTCTTACGAAATTCACTGCTTACCAAGTTTTACTTACTGTGGAAAAAGTACATGCTTTGCTTCCTGAGTTATCTTTCGTGATCTTATCTTTTATTTTTAAATATATTAACTTTTATGTAAGCAATGTGAATCTTGTTTTACTAGTTTTGAGAATTCTATTAGCTTTTAAATCATCCTTTTTCCTACCAATTTTGATCTGTATTAGTATCACACATAGAAAAAATTAAAACTTGACCAAGTGTTGTTGGCACACGCCTTTAATTGCAGAGGCAGATGAAATCTCCGTGAGTTCGAGGCCAGCCTGGTCTACAGAGTGAGTTCCAGGACAACAAAAACTACAGAGAAACTCTGTCTCAACACACACACACACACACACACACACACACACACACACACACACACACACACACACACACACACACACACACACACACTCTCACACTCTCTCTCTCTCTCCCTCCCTCTCTCCCTCCCTCCCTCCGTCCCTCCCTCCCTCCCTCCCTCCCTCCATCCCTCCCTCCCTCCTGGAATTACATTATAATTACATTATAAAAGGAAGTTTCTCTTAATTCAAGTTACACCTAGAAGTCTTTTTGATTGAGACAGGGTTTCTCTGTAGCTTTGAAGGCTGTCCTGGAACTTATTCTGTAGACCAGGCTAGCCTGGAACTCACAGAGATCACCTGCCTCTGCTTCCCAAGTACTGGGATTAGCCTGGCCCATAAACCTAGAAGTCTTACCTTTATTAATAATAGATCTGAATGTCTGACTTGTGGTGGTGGGTGAATATGATAGTACCCTTTGCCATTTTGTACACACACACACACACACACACAATTGATAATAAATAAGAATATCTTATTATTATATACTTTTAAACAATGGGTCCTATTTTATTTTTTTAATAACTATATAAATACTTGACACAATTGGGTAATCCAGAGCCTTGATAAGTCTTATATGTTTTTGTGGGATTTGATTTTCTCGTTGGTAACAGTGGTCTCTTACAGAAGCGAACACTGGTGGCTTGTCCCTCTCCTCTCTCCTTTAATGTTTTGATTAAAGAATACCTTGGGAATTTCTGGGGTCCTTTAGCCAGATACCAATAGTCATGTAAATTACTTGAATTCTTCCCCTTCTGTCCAAACAGCCTGAAGTACTTGAACAACTAAGTGGATTGAAAGAATTTTGGATGGATGGTAATAGACTGACTTTTATTCCAGGGGTATGTATATGAAAATTTCAGTGGTTCATTTATTACTGACTCTCCTTTTCAGTATTTGAAATGCACATTTAAAAGTTATTTTTAATCATTTAAACAGTGAGTGTTTACTTAATTTGTTATTAAGCAGTTTGAAACAAATTATACTTTTTAAAAAACCACACACATTCTTGATTGAAATCTGAAAACTCCCATAACAATTTTATTTTAAAAAAAATTTTAACTACCGAAGAACATATGCATTATGTAGTACCAATCAGATTTATACTAAATTCAGTGTTTCCAGAAATAGTTTCTGCTCTATCTACTGAGAAACTGTATGCTTCCCTATCTAAAGACGTAAGAGTATCTCCATTCCATAGGAGGTAATGAATATTTTCCTTAGTAAACTATTATTCTTCTTAACAAAAGTAATCCACATGCTTATTATTGAATATGTCTGGTGACATTTAGAAAACATTCAGATTTAATTATTAATTAAAACTTGATATTATGCTTATTACCTACACTTTAAAAATTATTTGAGCCAGGGCATAATAGTACATGCCTTTTATCCCAGTGCTCAGGAGGCAGAGCAGACAGATGTCTAAATTCAAGGCCAACTTGATTGATATACAGAATGAGTTCCAGAAAAGCCAGGGCTACACAAAGAAACCCTGTCTTGGAAACAAACAAAACAAAATTACTTGATCCAATAATGGTATTTTATGTCTTTTACTTACAGTTCATTGGTAGTTTGAGACAGCTCACATATTTGGATGTTTCTAAAAATAATATTGAAATGGTTGAAGAAGGAATTTCAACATGTGAGAACCTCCAAGACTTCCTCTTATCAAGTAACTCCCTTCAGCAGCTGCCTGAGACTATTGGTCTGTATTGCTTTCAAAACCATTTCTTTTTAGTTATTAAAGACTTCAACTTAAGACTTTTATAGAAATTCAAGATCCTCTTATTAATGTTATATCATACTAGCACATACAAAATTACTTGAAGTTTTCCAGATGTGCTCTATTGTACAATTTACTACTTTACTGTTGTTACTATTTTTATTTATCCTGAGGACATTCTAGTTTTATAACTTTAATAAATTCTTTCAAAGAAGCTAGCATATTCATTTTATTAGATTCCTAGCCCTTATTTGGAAACTGTTTTCAGTTACTTCACTATTGACAGTTAAAAAAAAACAGAAGGATTTTAAAAAATTTATGGCATATTTACAATTCATGCTAAATCTGTTTTCAAGTTGCTTGTTTGATAAAGTGTGAGACAGGTCAATTTCATGAAAAGTCTAAAAGCTTAAATCTTCAAGGTGATATTATAGAAAAACTAAATTATTTCACATCTCAGTTGAATTACACCAGTTTTAAAGTTAAGGTACATTTTATATTTTAGGATTCTATTTTAATTTAATCAGTAATTTTAATATTTTAATTTAAAAGTACTTATTTACATAACACTATTTTGTTATGTAATGACAAGTAGTCTTCATGCTGCTGTCTTTTTTTTTAAATTAATGTAACAAATTGTAGTTAATTCTCTATGCCATGTCAATTGTTTTTAAAAACAGTGTTACAGAAGTGAACAATGGAGACAAAAATTTTTACCTGGGGATAAGGTAGTAAACTAGTTATTGCTCAGGTAAGCTAAATAGTGCATTGGGGGCAGGAGAGATAGTCAGTAGAAGACTCGCCTGCCAAGTATAAGAGTTTGATTCCAAACACTTATGTTAAAAGCCAACCTTATTGGTGTGTGTACTTCTGTTCCCAGCATTGAGGAGGCTGATCCCTGGGATTTCCTAGCCTGCCAGCCTAACCTAAAAGATGAGCCCCAGATCCTAGCATGAGATCTGCATCAAAAAACGAGGATGGTTCCTGTGGAGGGACATCCCAGTTTTACCTTGGGCCTCCACAAGCACACTTCATACAGCTATACCCACACACACACATGCACGCACGCACGCACGCACGCACGCACAAAGGTGAGGAGGGTGAAAGTAGACTTGTTGGGTGAGTAAGAGTAGATGATGTTAGGGTGTAGTGTCTCTTTTAAATATGTTTATTGATAATGTTTTCTAATTCTTGTCGAATCTAATGTCCTTCACATTCATTATTGATGGACTTGCTTTCTAATTTAACCTGAAAATGATTTATTATTTCTTCTCAATAGGTTCATTGAAAAATGTCACAACTCTTAAAATAGATGAAAACCAGTTAATGTATCTACCAGACTCAATAGGAGGGTGAGTTGTATGTGAATGTGTAGAAAAGGAAAATGTTAGAATTAACTCAGTCTGTATCTCAGCATGCATTTTAGAAATTTACACAAAGCAGATTCCACAAACATTTAAAATAATTTGCATACAGTTTAATTATTATAATAAAAATAGTCTAATTTATTGTTGATAATATTTAGCTTTATTAAATTTCATTGTTTGCTGAAGTTCATGTTGTTATGCTGTTAAATTTTGGGTATTTTTTTTTTTTTGCTTTTTCAAAACAAGGTTTCTCTGTGGCTTTGGAGGTAGTTTAGAGTTTTAAAACTCTGTGTTTCCACTTATAATTATAGGTTAAGGTCAATAGAAGAACTGGATTGCAGTTTCAATGAAATTGAAGCTTTGCCTTCTTCAGTTGGGCAGCTCACAAACATAAGAACATTTGCTGCAGATCACAATTTCTTACAGCAGTTACCCCCAGAGGTACAGTATGTTATATTTATTTCAGATTATTGTCTGCTTTTAAAACATATTGGGGTTTTATTTTTCTTTGTAGAAGTTTATTAATCAGTTTATGTATTATCTGAATAATGACAGGCTATATAACTTTTAAAGATGTTACTAAACATTTTCCTTTTTAAATGAAAGTTAATAATTTAAAAAGAATAGTTAAAGCTGTGTAGTGGTGGCACATACCTTTAATTCCAGCACTTAGGAGGCAATGGCAGTCAGAGCTCTTGAGTTCGAGGCCAGCCTGGTCTACAGAGCAAGTGAGTGCCAGGACAGCCAGAGCTACACAGAAACCCTGTCTTACAGGAAAAAAAAAAAAGAATAAAGTTACTTCAAAAGTATTACGCAGAGAATATTTTTCCAAACTTTCAGATATAGTAATATTCTTTTGTTTGTTAACCTATAGATCAGGTTTGTGATCTCCAGTTTGTTTCTCTTTCAGATTGGAAACTGGAAAAATATAACTGTGCTGTTTCTCCATTCTAATAAACTAGAGACACTTCCAGAGGAAATGGGAGATATGCAAAAATTAAAAGTCATTAATTTAAGTGACAATAGGTTTGTAATTTTCAGTTGGCTTATGTAATACATTGAATGAAATTAAAGTTTGATATAAAATGTACTATGCTATCTGGTGTTTATTTCTCTTTATATGTATTTTTTATATTATATAAATTTTATAATTGAAAGAACGAACAAACTTTATCTGATATTACTTACCATGTTGTAATTGTCATGGTTTATTTTGAATCAACATAACTATACAACCTTGATTGTCTCGTTATTACATAACCTTTTAATTCCTATAGGCCCAAATTCACCTTAGTACTGCTGTTGAGCAAAGCAACTTTTTTAACCTAATCTTTGCTTGTGTTTTTCTGGGCAGAGATTCATTCACACAGCTTGGGTCGCAAAAACCAAATTGTGGAGCAAATTGATTGCCCTCTAGGATTGCTAGACTAGAATAGTGACTGCTGGGGTTGGGAGACTGAGGCTGTTTAAACAACAGTTGTGGGGCTGGGCATTGGTGTTGCATGCTTTTAATCCCAGCACTCGGGAGGCAGAGCAGGTGGATCTCTCTGAGTTCGAGACCAAGCCTGGTCTACCAAGCGAGTTCCAGGACAGGCTCCAAAACAATACAGAGAAACTCTGTCTCGAAAAAACAAAACAAAACAAAAAAAAAACCCAATTGTGGGATATTTTGTATTTTATTTTATAGTACTTTACAAAATATGAAGACTATCCCTTTGGAATAATAGTACAATAGGTGTTTCTCTTTTATGTAGGAGAAATTTGAAGTTCACATAGTTTTTAAAGTAAAACTTTAAGTACAGTATTCTGACTGACTTGTCCACATTGTCCTAACGGCTGCATTTTATTTAAGAACCATGTTTCTTCTCATAATTTCCCTTTCCAAAGGAGAGCACTAGATGCTCAAATGCTGTCTTCAAAAGTATGCCCGGAAGACTATCTAGGCCTACAATAGCAAGGATAAAGTAAAAATTTTAGTTTAAGTAGGATCCTATTTTAATTTACTACCCTAAATAAACATTTATACCACTTTATTTTTTATATATTATCATCTTAAAATAGCAGTGGCTCACTAACGTGTAGTACAATGCAGTGTTTTTAAAATAAACTCTTCCCTACAGTAGTAGTTCTCTCTAAATAGAAAAACAAAACAATTTTGTGAGTGAGTACTCAATGTGACCTTGCCTTTCTTTATGGTATGAACAGTTTTTATTTTTTTAGCAGAGTTGGTTTTTTTCTGCTTATTAAAATTATAGAAACTCATATTGGATAGATTAAATGTGACTGTCCTGGAATAAAGTCATACACCTGGAGTGTTTTTATATTAACATTGGAGATTGCTTTTCAAGTCTTACATTGTTGACAATCCTCAGGATTGTCCTCCTTTGGGGCTGGTGCATATCATAAAATGTTTTGTTTTTGTTTTTTTTGCTTTGTTTTGTTTTAATTATCATTTAGTAGATTATTCTTATCTGCTGAATTAAATCAGTTAGAGAATTGTTTTTAAAACTAGATAATGGTTTTGTCCTTGTCCTTTTCTCCTGTATAAAAGTGTGCATTTGGCATTACTTTTCGTTTTATCTTATCTGCATATACCAATATACAGTATTGTTCAGATGGCTTATACTTTCATTTTAATTATTTTTGTGGTACTAGGTGGTAGTAAGATAGGGTCCATGCTAGGTAAGTGCTGTACCACTGAGCTGCACTTCCAATGCAGTCTTTAAGTCATTTGGAATATTCTAATTTTGAGTATAATTTTGTTTGTCCTTTTCATTTAGGTTAAAGAATTTGCCTTTTAGCTTTACAAAGCTACAACAGTTGACTGCTATGTGGCTCTCAGATAATCAGGTAAGCATTCTGATCTAGTAAATTTGGCTGGGGTTCCAATTGTGTTGTATAATTATACTCTTTAATTTATATAGTACCACCTAAGAGCAGTTATACTTTGGTTCACATGTAAAAATGAAGAAATACCATATTTAGAAACAATTTTTAACACAGATATAATTAAGTAATAAATTTTGTTGTATTTAGCAAGTTTCCAAACCCATTAAAACATAGAAAGATCAGGAAATCAGACTCAGTTCCACTTAACGTCACATCATTACTACCATTGTCACTTCGTTTTTGAGTTCACATAAAATCTGTTCTCTCAACAGTTTTGAATGATGCAGTGTTTGTGACTAAAGTTGCTGTAGTCTGCAGTAGAGCTCTTGAGTTTTTTCTTCCTATCAGCTGTGTGCACTTGAACCAGCATGTCCCAATCACTCCCAGTCCAAGTCCCAGTTAGTTAATGTTTTCATCTCTTTCCATGACATCATGTGATAGTTATCTTTCTGTGTCAGGGTTATTTCATTTAGCATAATGTATTCCAGATTCATTTATGTTGTTTCAAATCACAAAATACCCTTTCCTTTAAAGGCTGACTTGTATTTCATTATGTGTTACACCATCCTCAGCCAACCATTCATTGATGGACACTTCGGTTGATATTTGTTTTCTTAAAGATTGATTTATTTTACGTTTTTTAAGTGTTTTGCCTGCATGTATGTATGTGTGCCTGGTGCCTGAGAAGGTCAGAAGAGGACATAGGATCCCCTAGAATTGGAGTTACAGGTGGTTGTAAGCTGCCATGTGGGAGCTGGGAACCAAATCCAGGTCCTCTGCAAGAGCTGTTAACCTCTGAGCTGTCTCTCTTGCCCTATTAGACTGGTTTCTTATCTGGAGTATTAAGAATAATGTTATGGGCTTGTAATGATATAAGTGAGCAAAAATGTGTAATAGTAGTAGAAAAGAAAGTAGTACTTCAATGATTAATTTGAGATAATCCTAAAGGCCGTGATACTACTTTGCTCAGTTTTTTGATACAAATATTTTACTTTACTTGAAGTTACTCAAAAGAGGCAAGGTCTTGCTATGTAACTTTAGCTGGACTGGAACTTGCTATATATGCCAGGCTGGTGTCAAATTCATAGAGATCTTTCTACCTCTGCCTCCTGCCTTCTGCATGCTGGGACTAAAGGTGTACATCAGCATGCCTGACCCGTGAATATAACTGCCTGCCCAGGTGTAAGAGAAAGATAATCACAGGAAGGAGATCTTGGTTGTTGAGAAGAGAGGTTTGAAGTTAAATGTTACCACATAGTCAAGAAAGAGCCAATGAAAGAGAATTGAAAGGTAAAGAAGTGAGAAGTTTTGGTGCGGTGACTATCAAGTATTGTGAGAACGGTAGAGTTGGAGAGTTGCCTGCTGTCCTTACCTGGTTCTGCTGCTTACTTGGTGGCTCTGCAGCCTGCTTTTCAGGCCTGGTTCTTTTCTCAGTGGCTTACAGAATGATGCTCCTCTGTTTTATTTTCTGGTATCTGTGCCTGGATCATACGTATGGCATAGTATCTGTCTAATACTGACCTTACATATCTTGTAATCAGCTCCCTAAGACAGCATACCATCTTCTGTCCCAAATGTTTCCTGGGATCCTTAACTCACTGAGAAATGTTTTATGGAGTCACAGACACACAGGAGTATAACCTAACTACTAACATCCCTTGTACTGCCAGTCCAGTGCATCACCAAGTCCTCAGGAATCTTGAATACATGTGCATGTGTGTTTTATCATTTCATATAGACCTGCTCAGTATAAAACCCAGTAGTGTCATACGTATTTAATCCAAAGACACGTGTTCATAATTAATTATGTACCGGAGTTTTTGCTGTAGTGTGATCATTTAAAAAATATGAATTTTGCAATCATAATTTTTATTTTGGATTTTATGCTAAAATTTTTGATTTTTAAAGTAAGGTTAAATTGAATGCATTATTGAAATTATTTTCATATCTATTGAGCTCCCACCCCAGTTTTGCTCCTGAGATGAAGTCTTGGTATATAACCCAAGCTGGCCTTGAACTCAAAATCATCTTGTCTCAGTATGTAGAGTGGTGCGATTACAGTCATCGACTACCATGCTCAGCTTCAACCCACACCCCAATACTAGGATTCAGACCCGGAGCCTCCTGTATACTAGCCAAGCACTGCACTACACCATGTTTTTGCCTTTAAAAAAAAAAAAGGTATAGCTACTAGACAATTACAAATTGAACACTGCTGACTCAGATGTTGACATAACTTTGTACTGGGTCTTTGCCTCCTGCTACTGTGTGCTCTTTCTAGCCCCCATACACATTAATACTGTTATCATGGGATCTCTCAATCTTAAACTTGCACTATCCTCCTTGAAATAATGCTCGTGGGTTTTCTGCATATCATAGGCCTTGAGGTCTCATTCATGGTGTAGCTATTTCTTTACCTCTTATTCTTCCTACCAAATGAATTCTCATTTATAACATTCTTTACCCTACCTGCCTATTCTTTTCCTCTCCTCACCTTAACCCTCTCAGAAATGCTGTCCTGTCTGTCTGAGACAGTAGCAAGTGAATGCACCTATGCTCTCTAGTGCACTACACCTTGTCAGCTTGTGTTTATTGTAATAGCCAGTTTTGTTAGGTGTTTTATCACTCTTATATACTGCAGTCTCCAGAAGTCAGTGTAGATATTTTGTTTTGCTGTGTCTTCTCTGTTAGTGTAAGTTTTTGATGAATGAGTGATTTTAGATTTCAGAAGAAGAATGCTAAATAGTTGATGTCCTGAGTCTTACAGCAAGAGAACTGAATGAGTATCTGAAATTAAATGGGATTAAAGGTCAGTAGTTAGGCATTCAAGGTATGTAGAAAGCTTGAAAAACTAATTTTTCTCTCTGTCCATGTACTCCATAAATAGTAATGATTATAATTTTTATGAAGCATAATTAATATGCCATTCAGTTCACCTATTTTAAAATATTCACAGTGGGTTGTTTAAATGATAATAGAATACTTTCAGGAAAATTGGTTTTTAAAAATGTCCTAGGTTATTTTGATACTGCCATTTAAAGGAAGGCTGCTTTTTCACACACTAAGAACTACTGGACCAAAAGTATATCTATGCTATTTATATTTTATATCTGTTGAATTACCTATGACTGTGGAAATATTTAGTATGAGAGAGATGGGAATGCAGATTGAGTATCCTTTATCTGATACGCTTGGGATAAGATTTTTGGATTTTCTTTTTTTGTTGTTCTTTTGGTATTTAAGACAGGGTTTCCCTGTCTAACAGCCCTGGCTGTCCTGGAACTATCTATGTAGGCCAGTCTGGCCGCAAACTCACAGAGATTCATCTATCTCTGCCTCCCAGAATTTTCTTGTAATATTCATGAATAATGACCTAGGAATCAAAATCTAATAATAAACTTTATTAACATTTCATGTATTACTTACATATCTTGAAAATCATTTTATGTGACATTTTAAATTAAATTTTTTATTTCTAGCATAAACTTTCTCTTGAGGTCACATGTGTCCTCTTCTACTTGTGACAATCATGCCAGTGTTCAGTGTTTTCAGATATTGGAATATTTTGAAATTTTTAATTAACTGTGCTCCACCTAGTGATAATCATTATGTGAGTGGAGGGGATTGGTGGATAATGAGGTTGAATTTAGAAAGCAGACTTGGAAGATTATGTTTGAAGAGAGACCAGGGTGAGCTTTTAGGACATTGTAAATACTGTCATCTCTATCCTGCTTGTGGAAAACACAGTGAGAGAAGAATCAACCTTTATTTGAGAGTTCGAGGAAGCAGATCTTTAGGAAAGGGTAGGGTTACCAATTCCATTGTTTGAGGAAGTCAAGTAAATTGTCAGACTATTTGAAAATGTAGGACAGTTTAGTTTTTAACCAGGTGAGGGTTACAAAATTTTTAAATATTTGGGAGTAAGATTTCAGGATGGAATTAGGTTTTACAAGATTTTATCCAAAGAATGAACTGAAAGGTAATATAGTAGAGAAGACTAGGTAATTCCTGCCTACTTGGAGTCATTTAAGGCTCTTAGTGGTAGAATTTTAGGTGAGTATATTGAAAGTAAGAGTCAGTTGTATTAGGAAAGAGATTGATACTATTTGTTAACTATTAGAGGAAAGATACTAAGAAAAGAACAAAATCTAAAATTCCTGGAGGCTCCACCAAGTATCTTGTTGGTACCATTGGGAGATAGGAGAGAAGCAGTTTTTAACTTACTAATTACTTTTAAGCACTATCTATTTAGCAGCTAACTGCTAGAAAAAAATGTTTGGATAACTAATTTAAACCTCGTAAATGTTTTTTTTCCTTAAAAAGCATTTTTTGCAAAAAGAAATAATAGAGACAGCAAAGTAACATAAAATGGGAAAATGCTTTATTATCTTATTAGTAAAATCATTGTGTAGTAAATAATTTATGGGCTATAGATATTCTTGGCATATTAAAATATTCTATAATTGTTTCAGTGATAATTAGTACATATTGAATTTGCCTTTTGTTAAAATTTATGAATTAATCTAAAAGTCAGTTTTTAGATTTTCTTTTATCTTTTTTTTTTAAGATTTATTTGTTTATTACATATCCAGTATTCTGACTACATGCCCAAAGAGGGCACCAGATTGAATTGTAGATGGTTGTGGGCCACCATGTGGTTGCTGGGAATTGAACTCAGGACCTCTTAACCTCTGAGCCTTCTCTCCAGCCCCATTTTTTAGATTTCTATGTGGTTTCAAATGAAGGCTTAAAGTGCTGTTTTATATATATACAAATTTGTTTTTGTAACCTGCACCTTGATATTTTGTAAAATTGGTGGGTATTATTTGTAGGGATTGATAGATAGTTATTTCCTTTAGATTTATTGAAAATTAACCATTTGTTTTCTTTCCCTAGTCTAAACCTCTGATACCTCTTCAAAAAGAAACTGATTCAGATACTGAGAAAATGGTGCTTACTAACTACATGTTCCCTCAGCAACCCAGGACGGAAGATGGTAGGCATTGAAGACTTCTCTCCCCTTCCCCTTATTTAAATGCCAAGAGAAGTTTTAGCTCCAGAACTCTTTATTATTTAATTGGGAGTTTGGAAAAGTGATCAGAAAGTTTTTAGAAAATAGTTGGATAAGTAATATCTATGAGTTGAATTTAGAGGTGTGAAAATGTATTGTGTTTTCTATATTTAAGTTACATTGATAATGTTATCAAGTGTAGCACTTCTTACTTCAATGTTAGGAATGCTTGTGAAGCATTGTGTGACTAGAAGTGTTAAACCAGGAAATGGTTTCTTCTGTTGCATATAATACCCGTGGAGTCCACACACAAGATGAAGGTCATCTGTGAAGCTCCAACTATAGTCACTGCTGAATTACTCTCTGTGTTTTGCCCAACAAGAGAATATATTCTTTAATACTGACCACTGGTGTGTACTTGTGGATTATTGTGTGAAGACAGGACCAAGTTTTTTTAGTATATGTGGTAGTAGTGGTTATAACATTTTAAAAATTACATTTTAAAAATGTCTTTTTATATATGTATGCATCTTTCTGAAAACAGTAAAAATATCTATGGTCTGAAGTTACTTAGAAATTAACTCTATATAATGTTAAAGAAAAGTTTAAATTTATCGTTAGTCTTAACACATAAAATATTCCATGAAGGGGCTGGAAAAAAGATGCAGTGGTTAAGAACATTTTCTGTTCTTCCAGAGGACCCAGATTCTATTCTCAGCACCCATTTAGTAGCTTATAATTGTCTATAACTTCAGTTCTAAATTATCTGATAACCTCTTCTGGACTCAGTGGGCCCCAAGCTTGCATGTAGTACACAGATATACATGCAGGTAGAAAACACATACATATAAAATAAAAATAAAATATGCCATGGGAAATTTAGTGGGTAAGTTTCCATTTCCTCATCTTTAAATGACATTAACAGTTCCATTTGAACCAGTCAGTTACTTATGTACTGTCTGACTACTTCTAGTCTATACTTGAGTACTAGCAACAGAAATATTTTATTATGTGATCCTTTACTAAAATGTTATATCAGTCTGTGAATAGAACATAAGAATGAATGTTCTCTTTGAACTAAGAAATCATTTCATGTTTTGCCTTACAAATGTTTTAGGTACTATAGTAATGTTTTTTACTACACTAAGGACAAGTACTTGGTCATATTGTGTAGCTGATAGTAGTTACGGGACTCTACACTTTCTTGCTGTGTTAGTCAAGTTTTTACATTGCTATGACTACATAACAGGAGAACAGTTACTTAGTTCGTAACTTCAGTGGTCTTATTTCATCTTCCTAAGAAGGTAGAATAGATCCGGAGCAGTTCCCTTCAAGGAGTCACAGAGGCAGAGGAAGAGGGCGGAGACCTAGTGTCACCCTTAGAGGCATACTGCCCCTGACCTTCCCAGCACAATCCCAGCCCTAAGGTTTTCACAGATTCCCAAAATACTACCACTCAAAATGTGAGCCTGTGGGAAACATTTCATATTTAGATCAGTACTTAGTTCTATTTCCTATTTTCACAAATCTTCTTTAGAAATAAGGAAAGATGAAAAACTGAGGTGAGTTCTGATGAATAAGAGCAGACAAGCAAATGTTTTGTTGACATAGTCAAATATTTGCAATCATTCTCCATACTGCTTTATTGGTAACATAAGCATTATTAGTCCTGGCTGTCTTGAAACTAGCTCTGTAGACCAGGCTGGCCTCATACTCAGAGATCTGCCTGCCTCTGCTCCCCAGTGCTGGAAGTAAAGGTGTGGGACACAACTGCCTGGGTAAACTTCATTTCTAACATGCAGAATTTTTATTTACTTGTGTCTTAGAGTTTCTACTGGTGTGATAAAACATGATAGCCAAAAGCAACTTGTCGAGGGAACGAGGGAAGGGTTTATTTCAGCTTACACTCAGTTTGCCCTTCATTACTGAGGGAATTCAGGGCAGGAACTTGAGACAGAAGCTAGAGTGGAGGCTGTGGAGGGTTGTTGCTTATGGCTTGCCTCCTAATGGCTTTCTTATCCTACTTTCTTATTGCATCTAGGACTACTAGCCCAGGGGTGGGACTGCCCACAGTGATCTGGGACTTCTCACATCAATTTTAAACCAAAAAAAAAAAAAAAAAAAAAGTACCGTAATCCTATCTGGTGGGGGCATTTTTTAAATTTGCGAAATGACTCTAGCTAGTGGCAAGTTGACATAAAACTAGTCAGCACAACATTTATCAATATTTCAGTACTGATAACTTAAAAATAAGTATACTATTTTGTTATGTAAACAGTTCTACATTTTATAATTTTGATAAATAATATGTTGGAAGTAGATTTAAATACATGGAAAAGAGATGTATCTTTTAAGTTTATTCTTAGATCTTTAATTACAGACTTTTCAATGGTGTTGCTTACATGTGACATATCAAAAACCTAACTTGGATTTCAACACAAGGCCTGAATAGCCTTTGCTATTCCTGAATAAGTGTTTCAAAAAATACCTATGAAACAATAACCTTATCAAAGCAAGTCTTTCTTCTTACAAAGATGATAGTGTTCTGTTTGTCACATTATAGAAATACAAGTTTAAATGGGTTAAAGTTTTGATCTGTTTAGTTATTTCCAGTCTTTTCTTTAATCTGTCCTTAAAATCATCAGTTTGAATGACTTTGAAAAAAATTAAGTAGTTTATACCTGTATTTACAACTAACTTATCATATTTACAACTATCTTCCAATGTACACACTATGTCATCAATTGCTTCAGGCTCATAAAGTTTAGAGCATTTACTCTCTGGTCATTTTCAGAAAGGTTCCTGCTAGCCCTTCTCTAAGATATCCAAACTGTGAGTGTTTGCAACCACAGGTATAAATGCCTTGATTTCTTCTTTTTTTTTTTTTTTTTTTTTTTTGGTTTTTTTTTTTTTTTTTTGGTTTTTCAAGACAGGGTTTCTCTGTGGCTTTGGAGGCTGTCCTGGAACTCGCTTGGTAGTCCAGGCTGGTCTCGAACTCACAGAGATCCGCTTGCCTCTGCCTCCTGAGTGCTGGGATTAAAGGCGTGTGCCACCAACACCTGGCTGATTTCTTCTTTTACTGTTTCCTATTTTCATGATTCAGATCTACCTGGCCTTCTTTATCCAACCTCTGTTTCAGCTTACTTTCTATTCTGATTCCTTCTTTTAAGGATGATTGTCTAAATAAGGAAGTGTTGTTCAAATTCTAACAGAGCAGAAGTAGCAAAATTATGCCACCATTGGTGTTATTTCAGCATTTTTTTTAAGGTAGAAGGGATGTGTTATGGAAATTTGTAGTATATCAATTAATCAGAAAACTCTTGGGTTTCCTTGGAATTCTTTTGCCACTTGAAGTATCTCACCATAGGTATACATGAATATAATGTACTCATATCTCAAATTAGAAACTATAGTGGTTGAGGCTGCAGAATGAGATCAGCAGGTAAGAGAGCTTGCCCCCAAATCTGATGACTTAAATGCAATCCCTGTAATTCACTTGATGGGAGGAGATAACCGATTCGGCAAGCTGTTCTCCAACTGTCATGTGTATACCATTATATTCACATGCTATTGATAAACACAGAGGAAGAAAACTACCATAGTGTTATCAGGAGTATGGTGAGTTTCCTTTGAACTTCAAGGAAATGTCTTTTTTCATTCCGGTACTTCTAAGAAGTAGATGAATGAGACCGTGAATATTACTGTTCAGTTTTAGTTTTTGCCAGCTTGAAAGTGTGTTTCACATTGTTCACAGTGAGCTTATTCTGATTTTGTCAGCCTATGAGGCAGGTGCTATTAGAGCTCAGTGAAACCACTTGCCTTTCAGAAACTAAAGGTGGATAATGGTGAGTAAATTTGAAAGAATACAAATGAGAGTTTCAGCCTGGATAGAGGAATTAGTCTTTTTGGAGAAAGGGTTTCAATATGTAGCCATGGCTGACCTAGAATTCTTTAAACTCATCTTGACTTACCTACATCCTCCTTCTGAGTGCTGGGATTAAAACTGTGTACTACCGTGGTTGACCTAGTTGAATTAGGAGAAGGGAATATACGATCATTTTCCAAATTACATTATATAGGTACACATTGTGTATGTAATATTGATAACTAGGAAAACAGCTTGGTGGGGGTAATGTCAGTCTGGAGTACCTCTCTGAGAATTTTTACCATCGCCCCCCATAGTGACATGTAATGTAAAAGAAACTTGCTCCTGGTGGTTGAGAAAAGAACATTTGAAGGAAGTGGTAGTGTATCATGAAATGGGCGCTTCATTAAAGAAGGAAGTAAAAACTAAAGTGGTTTTGCAGGTTGGGAGAGAAAGATGACTAAAAACCTGAGCAGGACGTGACTTAATATTTAGAAGGCAGGAACGTTTTGAGTATGATCATGACTGAATCCCTTAGCTAATGTGAAGATTAACATTGGGATTGAAGATACTTAGGAACTATAAAATTACAGAGTAGGATGGCATCATCAGATATGGCAAGTCTTGAAAAAACCACCACATGTAGTCAGATACTAGAGAGTTGAATGAAGGCACCTTAGCATTCAAATTTGTTAGACTCTAAGGTAAGGGTAGGAAATAATATTACCTGGGACCCTGAACCGAAGGTAAGAGATTTATTCAAAATAGTAGGAAATGTAGTTAACCAGTAGCTATTGAGAATGAGAGCCATGGTCAGAGTTAGAAACTCTGGGGTTCTGAATACATTCTTGTGTAAAATTGCTGCATTTGGAGGTTGACTGGTGTTTGCAGTTGCTACCCAAGGGCTGTCAACATGGCTCAATGAGTCAAATTACTTGCCAGCCAAGCATGATAATCAAAGCTTCATCCCCAGAGTATATGTAAAGGTGGAAGGAGGAAAATAATCCACAAAATTACCTCCTGAGTACTTAATACAAAGATATAATTGCCACCACAATAGTCCCCCCCCTTGGTTTTTTGAGACGGGGTTTTTCCGTAGCTTTGGAGCCTGTTCATGAACTTGCTCTGTAGACCAGGCTGGCCTCAAACTCACAGATCCGCCTGCCTCTGCCTCCTGAGTGCTGGGACTAAAGGCATGCACCACCACAGCCTGGCTCATTTTATTTCTTCACAAAATAACTTACTCTGTTTTTAAACTCCTTTATCCCTTCATGCTTATTGAACTTTAATGGTAAAAAGAATTCTAAAATTGAAAGATGTGGTAGCCTTACTGTTTTAACTTTTTTAGGGTCTTATACAAAGCCTATGTATTTGTAGTGTTTAAATTAGCAACTTCATGAATCCTTCTAGTAACAAAAACCTAATCAACTTCTGAGAAATAAAAATCGCAGTGGTCATTGTAAAGAAATCTTAAAACAGAAGCCTGTTTCTTATCCTGGAATTTGTTGCTGTTATACTGGACCAGTTTTAGCTGCCACAGACTTGTTTTCATAATGCAGATTATGGTATAAGTGATAGTTTCTGTGATTATTGTAAACTATGGTCATTTTTCTTTTATTCTAGTTATGTTCATATCAGATAATGAAAGTTTTAACCCTGCACTGTGGGAAGAACAGAGGAAACAGCGGGCCCAGGTGGCATTTGAATGTGACGAAGATAAAGATGAAAGAGAGGCGCCCCCCAGAGTGAGTCTGTTAGTTTTTAAAGTTTGTACTGTACACCTATAATATGCCACTTGTGGCTACAAAGAAGTACTGGACTCATTGCATACTCTCAAAGCACTTACTAAATCAAATTATTTCTCTTATGAAAAAGTATAAAAGGCACATTTTGAGGAGAGCTGTAACTCACTGGTGGAATCTTGTCTGTCGTGTAAAGGCCCAGTTTGGTCCCCAGCACTGGGAGAAAGAAAGGGAAAGACAAAACAACTGAATTTGAAATATATATATATATAAGAAAACAGAATTTTTATAAATTCATCATCTGTATTTACTGTTCCTGTGACCAGATATCCAGAACTTGAGATCGATTATAGATTGACGTTAGAAATACTAATACTTCATGTTTCTCTTATTTCTCTAGGAGGGAAACTTGAAGAGATATCCAACACCATACCCAGATGAGCTTAAGAATATGGTCAAAACTGTTCAAACCATTGTACATAGATTAAAAGATGAAGAGACCAATGAGGAGTCTGGGAAAGACATGAAACATGAAGATCAGCAAGTCTTAAATAAGGATTCGGGTGTGAAGGTTAGGAACTCAATTCCAAGTAATGATGTGAAGTGTTTGAAGTTATCTGATGATCTTAATTATGTATTACTTGTAGTTTTGTTCTCAAATGACTTATTTTGAATTCCCCAGCTGCTCGTCTTCTGGTTCTTTGGCTACAGAATGTCCAGTTTATCAGGATAGTGTTAAGATGACCTTTAAAATGTCTTTACCTGAGCAAATAACAAAATAAAATCATTGTCCTTCTAGAAATACCCTTCCCTCCTATTTTTATGATACTGATCCACTTTATTCTAATTTTCAATTAATGCTATTTCTGACATTAGACATTTCCTTGAAATGTTTCAAAACTTTTCTCAGTGCTACCATGGCCAAATAAAAGTTTTGTTATGCCATTAGAGTCACAGTGCTTTTGACAGCAGGCAAAAATGATTTATGTATTAACTGACTTGACACCAGTCTTCTAGAGGAAAAATAACTTTTGCTAAATAATGTATTTTAATATAATCATGGCTCTCTATAGGCCATCTTCCCTCCAAATGGGCATTTTATATTTGAGTCTAATTTTATATGTTTACTCTTCCTTCCTTCCTTCCTTCCTTCCTTCCTTCCTTCCTTCCTTCCTTCCTTCTTTCCTTCCTTCCTTCCTTTTCTCTTTAATTTAGACTTCAGAAAGTACTACAATGAAAAGCCAACTCGATGAAAGAGAAAAATACATGAATTCTGTACAGAAGATGAGTGAACCTGAACCTGAGACCAGCCCTGGAAATTTGCCAGTGATTGCAAATAGGAAAGTGTCTGGGGACCTAAAGCATATTGTTAACCATGATGATGTTTTTGAGGTATGACTTCATCCTGACAGTCATGAGAGTTTCCAATTTATTATTTCATTGTTATGAACAATAGAAGGCTAATAGTATGATTGCAGAAATATTGCAGTCCTTGAAATTTTTTATACTAAAATATCACTCATTACTTTAAACTTAAAATTTTTGTATTTGAGAGTAAATGATTAGTAGGTAATTCAGATTATGATGTGTTATATAAAATGAGTAATTACAATTGTTTTTTATTTATTTTTCGTGGTGATGGGTATTAAACTCATGTTCATTGTTCATAACAGGCCCATGTTCTACCTCTCTTCTACATCCCCAGACTTGGCTTTTATTTCTGTAACATCAAAATGAAAAGTTAAAGATGTAGATCAGTGTTAGAGCACTGTCCTGGTTTGCATACATCCCTGGATTCCATCCCTAGCTCTGTGCAAAGTCAAACAGAACAACAGAAAATGGCTGTTATGGCTATACTCAATTTATCTTATGTAAGCATTTGTCATTGGATATGTTACTCTTATTCAGTGTCTGAGAACAGAGATGCAGTTTCTCATATTAAATAAGTAAAGGCTATAGATCTTTTTTTTTAAGAAAGACTTTATTGCAGATTATCTCAAACCTTAAACAGTTTTCTGATTCAAAGTATATAATCCAGCAACTTAAATAATTTACAAAGTTGTGAAGTCACTCCACAGTTAACTGTAGAATAGGTTTACAACCTCAGAAGGAAAAATAATTTCATACTTTTTGGTCCCTCAACTCTAAGCAACTAATACCTGCTTTGCCTGTATAGATTTGCCTATTCTTGATATTTTGCATAAATGAAATCACACACTTAGTATGTTTTTTCTTTTTAATACTGGCAAGTATCCACTGAGCCATCTCACTGACCTAATATGTGGTCTTTCGTAGTTTCTTTTTCTTAGCTTACTATCTTGAATTTCATTCTCTGATATCCCTCAAGTACTACATGTTATTCCTATGGCTGAATAATATTCTATTGAGTATATATGTGTCAAGTGTAAATGAGATTGCTAAACATATATGGAATTCCAAACTTTTTGAGACTTCATCTCAGTATGTAGCCCTAGATGGTCTGAAGCTCACTGTGCAACCCACATCAGTATAACTTGTGGTATTCCTCCTATATTAGTCTCTTGCATGCTGGGTTTATGGGTGTGAATTACCTTGCCTAGCTGGAACTCCAAAGTGGCTCTGGTTTTCTTTTTTTTGGTTTTTCGAGACAGGGTTTCTCTGTATTGTTTTTTGGAACTAGCTCTGTAGACCAGGCTGGCCTCGAACTCACAGAGATCCGCCTGCCTCTGCCTCCCGAGTGCTGGGATTAAAGGCATGCACCACCAACGCCCGGCCTGTGGCTCTGGTTTTCTCTTAACTCCAGTTCTAGAGGCTCCAACACCCTTTTCTGGCCTTCATAAGTATTGCACACATATGGTACACAGATATACATACAGGCAAAACATGATAAAAATACACAATAAAAACAAACCTGTTTCCTCTGCAAGAGCAACAATTGCTCTTAATTGCTGAGCCATCTCCACTGTTTATACCTTTAGGATGGCACTTACGAAGACATAAAAAACCTTAGTATTGTTTGTGTTTTCTTTTTTAGGGGAACAAGTTTTGTAAAGAATTTGCTTTAGTTTCATCTTAGTCCCTAGGAATGATTTAGCTGACAAGAGATCTGATTTCATGCATACCATATTATATTAAAATGTTTCCATTAATAGTTGTTGGCAAGTCATTTTCTTTGCTTAAACTACTCAGTAGTAAGTAACCTGTGGCATATTGGTTGTAATAAACTTGGAACAATAACAATCCTGCTTTCAAAATAAGTATACAATTTTAGTTCATGTTGATAACAGTCCATCCTAGAATATATCTTATAAGCTTAATCTACTTAAGAGTCTAAACTTAGCCGGGCGTTGGTGGCACACACCTTTAGTTCCAGCACTCGGGAGGCAGAGGTAGGCACATCTCTGTGAGTTCAAGGCCAGCCTGGTCTACAGAACGAGTTCCAGGACAGCCTCTAAAACAATACAGCGAAATCCTGTCTCAAAAACACCAAAAAAAAAAAAGAGTCTAAACTTGACAATTAGTGAGAGACTCTGTTTAGGGACTCTGTAAATTGAATTTTTCAAAGACAATACTGTATTTTGATCATTTTTGTTTACTTCTAACCTCACATAACTCTGGCACATAGTAACTATTAACATAGCTCCAAAAATTATACAGTAAATATTTTGATATGTTGTTAATAACTGCTATAGTTTCATTGCTGTAATTTAAATAGTTAAGTCATAGATTTTTGTCAACTCTTACCATTAAAAAGCAGTTTTGTACATGTTCTTAGTAGTATACTTTATTTTCCCTGCGATGTTTTTATGGTATATTTATTAATTTTAAAAGTCCAAAATTTTATTTTTATATTTTCCCCCTTTTCTTTAAACTAGGAATCTGAAGAACTTTCATCTGATGAAGAAATGAAAATGGCAGAGATGCGACCCCCATTAATCGAAACCTCAATTAACCAGCCCAAAGTTGTAGCACTTAGTAATAACAAAAAAGGTTAGCTGTTGAAGGGGAAAGCATTAAGACTAGAAATGGCCTAAATAATATGTATTAATTCTCTGGGAGTAAATGTTATTGAATGTCACATTATTGAAACATTTTGAAAACAAAATTTAAAACTGCTGTTCCAAAATGTTCTTATTTCCCATTTTTAAAGAAATTGGTAGGTCCTCCCTACCTGCTTGCAGACTTTTTAAAGGCATGGACATTAAAGGGACATAATTATTGATTATAATTTAATTTCTGATGTTTATCTTCTAATTATGTTATCCTTGTGTGCCTAATTTTATTCATATATACATGACAAATTTGAATTGCAATGATGGTCATGAAGGATTTAGCATAAAATACATATCATAGTACCTGATACATACTAGATGCATATTATTTTATTCTTATCTATTCCAGAATGGTATTAATCCCTCCTACCCAATTTTTGTTAACTAATTTTCACATAAGAAAGTATTAGACTCTTAGAAATGAAGTTGTAACGAACACCAATCTTTTTACACACCTCTTGCTAGTGCCTGACTAGCTTTGCATTATCTCTACCAAATATCTACCCAGACTGTTGCTGTCATAGCAATAGTGACACTCCACAGTGGTTAATAATGGTATTTAGAAACAGTTGAGTACTTTATTTACCAGTTGCTTAGGTACTACTGTGCTGAACAGTTGGGTGTCATAATAGCCCATCAAAAGAACTTAAGAGGCATCTAATGGTAATTTTATAAATTAAGAAACCAAGACTCAAGTACCTTGAGGTTGGGATTACTAGACCATTTGAGTCATACTTGTAAGAACAACAAACATACCTTTAATTCATAGCTGCTCTATGACTATGTTTGGATATAAGTAGATCCTTGATGTGCTTGGGATTAATAGAGTTTTTCAAAGAGTTTTTTTATGATTGTAGTCGAAACTAATTTTTATGTTTCTGCTTTAATGGAATATAAATACTGATTTTTGGTTTTGTTTTTCATTGTTATGTAAGCAGCCACTTCACATATTGAAAGATCATCACTTTATAAGCAGTTCTTTGAGATTGGAGAAATACAAAGGACCTGTGGTTGGTTCTCAATACCCACATTGGGTGGCTCATTTTGTTAATTTTGTTTGTTTTTGTTTTTCGAGACAGGGTTTCTCTGTGGCTTTGGAGGCTGTCCTGGACTAGCTCTTGTAGACCAGGCTGGTCTCAAACTCAAAGAGATCCGCCTGCCTCTGTCTCCCAGCTTTGGGTGGCTCACTTTGTAACTTCAGCTCCAGGGGAAATGATACTCCTAACTTCTGTGAACATTTCACTCAAATGCACATACACACATAGACATTATAAAAATAAATTTTTAAACATTCGAATGAAATAAGGGAGCTGACCTTTGAAAGTCCTTGATTTTGTTTATGTATTATTACTTTGCTCAATTTTATTATCAAAATAGATTGAAAAAGTTCATGTATATATTACATAATTTCTTACCCAGATAAACTGTAGTAAGGTTATGAACAGTTAAGTGTATTTTTGTTACAAGTTCTTAAAATACAAAAAAACATTCACCAAAATGAATTGGTAGCCTTTGAAAACTGTCCATCATTTTGTCAATAAGCTAAATTAAACCTTAGATACCCTTAACTTTGATTGCATTAAAAAATGATATCACAACTTTAAAATTCTTTAATTTTTTATATGTATTTAGGTTTTAATTTTCAGAGATGTCTTTGATTATCTTATCTATCACCTTGTAAATGGAATCAATACAAAAGCTTGCCATAAATCCTTAGTGAATTTATTATTGCTCTTAAATATTTTGTTGTTTTTTCAGATGATGCAAAGGATACAGATTCTTTATCAGATGAAGTCACACACAATAGCAATCAGAATAACAGCAATTGTTCGTCTCCATCTCGGATGTCTGATTCAGTTTCTCTTAATACTGATAGTAGTCAAGACACCTCACTGTGTTCTCCAGTGAAACAAACTCCTATTGATAGTAACTCCAAAATCAGGTTTGTGAACATTTCAATAAGATTATTTACTTATAATATAAATAGAAATAATAATGCAAATAATAAATATAGGACTATGCATAAGCCTCTTCACAAATATTATACAAATGGCTTAGGGAATATATTTCTTCCATTTTGAAACTGAGTAGTGGGGTTATACAGTTCTGTTTTAAAATGCTTCTTTCAATTGAGAGACAACAAAATATGGTAGATTCTTAATCTCTAGGTGAAATTAACAAATATTTCTGGGTGTTATAACGTAAATAGTCAATTTGAGGATGTTCAGATTGAAAGAGTTATTTTTATCCTTAGAAATCTTGTAAATTACATTCTGTTGCCTTGATAAAACTCCATGACCAAAAGCAAGTTATGGAAGAATTAGTATATTCAGCTTACAGTTCCAGAGGGAGAGTCTATAATGGTGAGGGAGGCATGGCAGCAGGCATCTGGAGTAGGAAGCCGAATGATCACAGAGCTCCAGCATGTCACATGTAGAAAGCAGAGAGAAAAAATTGGAAATGGGGTGAGGTTGTAAATTCTCAAGCCACTCCTAGTGGTGTACTCCCTCCAGCAATGCGCCATTCCCTGTCCCCCATAGGCTCAGAGCCATATCATACTATAAAATGCATTTAGATCAATGTTAAAAGTTATCATGGGCTTCAACAGTCTTAACAGTCTGAAGTCTCTTCTGAGACTCAACAGTCTCTTAACTGTGACCTCCCATATAAGATTAAAAAACAAAAACAAAGCTATACTTCCAGGGTACTATGGCATGGAATATATAATACCATTCCAGAAGGGAGGAATGAGGACAGAATGAGGGAATACTGAACCAAAGCAAGACTAAAACCCAGCAGAGCAAATTCCAAATCCTACAGCTCCACGTCCAATGTCAAGTTCTGCCCACTTAGGTTTGTGACCTGTGCATACATCTCTCTCTTTGTGTACTTTTCTCTGTAATCAGCTCTTGGCAGATGTGTCATGACTCAGGTGTCTCTTATCAGTATTGAGTTTCTACTGCAACCCAGGCTTTGCTTTCAATGTTTCATGCAATGGCCTCTCATGGCCTTTTCACAGCAGCTCAAGCCTTGCCAGACTTTGCCTTTCCTCAGTGGCTCTCTGAAACCATATAGGAGGAAGCCATGGCCACCTCACTCTTACATTTTCATGACATGGATGACATTGGCAAGTTAAACTGACATCTTGAGATGGGCCCTTGATACCTCATCTCACATTAGTGTTTTATATAGTTACACAATTGCTTTCTTAGAGCAGGAAACTTCTTAGGCTCTTTTCATACGTTGGAAGCTTTAGCTGAGTGTAGTATTGCCCTGCAGACACCCTTCTCATCTGTCCTTTTATAGTGATATCTATAGAACAATTACATTACCTTTTCTAGCACTTGTATTGGCTGTAATATTAAGTCTCATAGTGTTCTGTTCTCTCCAAACTGTACATTTTTCCTTTCTTTTGTTCTATTTGCCCTTTTTCATTATAGACTTGTATAAAGAGTAATCAATAGTAACTATACCAAGGACTCAACATTATATTGCCTTGAAAGTTTATGCCCCAAAGAAATTAGTTCATTACTGTTTTTGTTTTGTTTTTATACAGTCTTGCCACATAGCCCTAACTAGCCTTGAACTCAACAGAGATCTTCTTGCCTAGCCTCCCATGTACTGGAATAAAGGGTGTACATAGCCACAGCCAGATATTATGTACTTTAGCATCAGACAAGTTCTTAAGACAGAGAAGGCAGCCAAATTCTTGCCAGCATATCAACGAGTGGCCTGTAGCACAGTTGCTAAGATAGTTGTTGCCTCCATCAGCCCTCTTGAGTCGACCTCTCCCATCCTCAGTACTCTCAGTGCTGCTGTCTCTAGGTTTCTACTAGAATGACCTGTAAACTCTTCTTAAATTTTAGTACAACCTTCAACAGTCCCCCACATTCCTCCAAAAACAACCTGGTCAGATTCTTTACAGCAATAATCCTACTCTGTTGTGCCAACTTCTATCTTAGCTTCTTTTTTTTTTTTGTTGTTGTTGTTGCTTTGATAAAATACCATGACCAAACTTGATGTATGGGGAAAAGAGTTTACTTGTGCTTATGGTTCCTAATGGAGAGTTTTTAATGGTGGGAGAGTTGTGGCAGCAAGCCGCTGAGAGATCACATCTCCAACCATAGCTAGAAAGCAGAGAGCAAATTGGGTACGAGGCAAGACTGTTAAAGCTAGTCCCTAGTAACATGCTTCTTTCAGCAAAGCCCCGTGCCCTAAAAGTTCCCTCAAGCATCATAAACTAGAGACCAAGTGTGCCCACACATGAGCCTATGTGGGACATTTCTCATTCAGACCACCATGGAATGGTGGGTCATTCTAGGGAGGTGGCATTGAAGGGGTCATTCAGATATTCTTGTGTAGGGATGAGCCCACAATATAGTCCATGCCCACAGGGGCGTGGACAAGGGATGGGCAAGGTGAAGATAAAAGGAGTGGAAGAAAAACGACTCTCTCTGCTTCTCCTTCTACTTCTAGAAGATGGACACGCTTCTGACTCCCTAGCCTTTTGGGTGTAGGTTCTTATTCTGGTAAAATAAAATGTTATATTTCCTGTCAGGCGTTGGTGGCACACACCTTTAATCCCAGCACTCGGGAGGCAGAGGCAGGAGGATCTCTGAGTTCAAGGCCAGCCTGGCTGGTATGCAGAGCTAAGCTACACAGAGAAACCTTGTCTTGAAGGGAAAAAAAGAGGAGAAAAAAAAACTTGGTTGTCAGAGTAAGATCCAAACAAGACAATGCCATTCTGCTGTGGATTCAGTCTGTTGGCTAGAAATTCTGCTTGAGGGAAAGATTTAGGCTGCTACTGAAGCACATGCTGGTTTTACAGATATTTTAAACCATGACTAGAGTTATACCATTCTTGAGTTGCAGACATATTTAAATACAAACTGTTACTTGACTTACTGTAAAAAGAATACTAATTTTCTGCCTGAGTATAAGTTCAGATATTATATAATCTGTTCTCTTGATTTTATGCTATAGGCTTAGTAAAATACCAATTCTATAATCCCTTACATGTTAAAACACATTCTTAATTTGTTGAATTGTAAAATTTTCCTAATACTATTGTTGGAAAGTAGTATGGTATAAATCATCCTTTTATATAACAAAGTAGGGGTATTAAGGGAGAAATATAGCAGTACAATTTATATACTTTTTAAATAAGAAGCTGTAATTTTGTGTAGTGCGAAGGACTAGATAGATATGTTCTGTACCACCAAGTAGAAATAAGATATTTTCGTAGTTTTAGAATGACGCATTTATAAAATATTTGCCAAATACATTGTACCACAGAGTAATGATTATGTTGTTTCACTTTTGATCCCTTTATGAACTTATGCATTTATGCAGTTGGGTTTTTTTTTTCTTTTTTGTTTGTTTTTTGATTTTTTGAGACAGGGTTTCTCTGTGTCTTTGGAGGTTGTCCTGCAACTTGCTCTGTAGACCAGGCTGGTCTCGAACTCACAGAGATCCACCTGCCTCTGCCTCCTGAGTGCTATGATTAAAGATGTGCGCCACCAATGCTAGACTAACAGTTGTTTTAGTTTAACTTAATTGTTTATATATTTGGATTTAATGACCACTTGTTAAGAATGTTAGCCTGTTATTAATGCCATTAATGTAAAGCTTCAGAATTACTTGCAAATCATCCTGTGCCATTTACTTAATCACTCAAGTTACTGTCTGAATCTCAATGTAGCTTTCCCACCTTGAAGCATTTAAATTTTGCACATTTTGAAATGACACAGAAGATACACCATTCTGTTCTTTTTCTTAGCTTAGCACTAGTAACCCATTTTATAACTAGTTAGATTGAACATGTTCGTGAAAGTTAATTTGTAGGCAGAGTTTTCCTGTGTCCCAGCAGTTGTTTCCAATCAACATGGAAACTCAGGCTTGTTACCAGCTAGTTCTTACATTTTAAATTAACCTGTATTTCTTATCTACCCTCTGCCATGTGACTCATGACTTGTATCTCATTTTCTACATGTGCTGCTTCCTCTGCTTTTGCTGGTGTCTCCTCTGACTCCATCCTTCTTCCTCCCAGAATCCTTAGTTGTCCTGCCTGTACTTCTTGCCTGACTACAGGCCAGTCAGCTTTTTATTAAAACAATTTGAATGATGAATCTTTACATTATACAAAATGATTATTTCACAGCATTGATCTTGACATTATTGATAACCTTTAGCTGTTTACTTCTTCCTCTAAGTTAATATAAATCTCTGCTGCTTGACTAAGATTTTTATTTAACTCTCTGTTACCAAGAGAACTTGTCTTTATTACATTCTCACAAAAATTCTTGTATTTTAGGCAAGAAGATGAAAATTTTAACAGCCTTTTACAAAATGGAGATATTTTAAACAATTCACCAGAAGCAAAATTTAAAGTTAACGATAAAAAGGATTTTAAGTTGCCTGAGTATGATTTGAATATTGAAGAGCGGTTAGTTCTGATTGAAAAAGATGACTCAAAAGCCACATCTGATGAGTCTCACCAGTTAGACCATATCAACATGAACCTTAATAAACTTGTGACAAATAATACGTTCCAGCCAGAAATAATGGAGAGATCAGAGACGGATATAGTGCTTGGAAAAGGCGTTTTAAGGTTTCATCCTAAAAGTGAGGCTCAGCATATAGAAAATGGAAATAAGTATCCGAATTTGGAATCCATAAACAAGATAAATGGTCTTTCTGAGGAATTTCCACAGTCTTCTGGTAGGATTGAACCACAGAATTCCAGTTCTTCTGCTGATGTGGGTATTTCTAAAAGCATTGATGATCTCTCCCCTCAGAGAAGTGGTCCAGTCGGATCTGTTGTGAAATCTCATAGTATAACTAACATGGAGACTGGAGACTTGAAGATCTGTGACATCCTTAGTGATGATGACCCTCAGCCGCCAAGTGCAGCAGTTAAGATCGCATCTGCCACAGATGGGAAAAACATAGTGAGGAGCAAGTCTGCCACACTGCTGTATGACCAGCCGCTGCAGGTGTTCACTGCATCTTCCTCGTCTTCTGATTTAATGTCTGGTACAAAGGCCGTTTTCAAGTTTGATTCAAATCATAACCCTGAAGATCCAGATTTAATAAGAGCCCCCATAGTAGCTGGCCCGCAGTCTACACCTCAACTATATGGTCCTCCACAGTATAACGTCCAGTACAGTGGCAGTGCTGCAACCAAAGACACCTGGTGGCACCCCAAACAGAATTCACAAATAGACCCTGTCAGTTTTCCTCCTCAGCGCCTTCCTAGATCAGAGAGCGCAGAAAATCACAGTTACATGAAGCATTCTGCCAATATGAATTTCTCTAACCATAACAATGTTAGAGCCAATACTGCATACCATTTACATCAGAGACTTGCTCCAGCCAGACATGGAGAAATGTGGGCTGTATCCCCAAATGACCGGCTGGTTCCAACAGTTACTCGGACTGCAGTTCAGCGACAGAGTAGTGTGTCTTCAACAGCTTCTATAAATATAGGTGATCCTGGTCTCACAAGGCGTACTCAGATTTCTGAAGGAGATTATTTATCATACAGAGAGTTACATTCAGTGGGAAGAACACCAGTGATGTCAGGGTCACAGAGACCACTTTCTGCACGGGCATACAGCATTGATGGCCCAAATACGTCAAGGCCTCAGAGTGCCCGACCCTCTATTAATGAAATACCAGAGAGAACTATGTCAGTTAGTGATTTCAATTACTCACGGACTAGTCCTTCAAAAAGACCAAATGCAAGGGTTGGTTCTGAACATTCTTTATTAGATCCTCCAGGAAAAAGTAAAGTTCCTCATGACTGGCGAGAACAAGTACTTCGACATATTGAGGCAAAAAAGTTAGAAAAGGTAATTGAACATGAGTTTTTTTCTTTTTTAAATTCTTTATGAATTTATTTTCCTTTTAAATGATTCATAAGACAGTCTGAATTATTATCTACTTACAATCTAGGCATTTTTCCCTGTTGCTGGAAACAGAGTTCTATATTTAAACTCAAGCCAGGACAGGTGAGATGGTTGTACACGCTACTTTCTTACTCCTCGAAGTCTCTGATGGTCATGTAATCTCCTTATGCTTGTGTGTCTCTTTTAGCCTGTACACATATACTAGATACAATACATATACACAGCCATGTTCATTGTTGTCTGAACTGATCACTACCAGGTGATTATATAAACATTATAAGAAAATACTAGTTTACTGTATAATTACTAAGATAACTAAGTATATTTGCAAGTATAGATTTTTCATCAAAAAAACCCTCTTCTCCAGTCTATATTAAATGAACTAACACCATCACTGACACAGATGACTCTGGCATGGCATTTATTCTTGACTTTGCTGGAGTGCATTTCTAATGTAGTTGAACAACTCAGTTGAGTGTTTTTGTGACTAAGGTGCAACTTGGAAATGTTGGTAAAATAACTAATGCTTGTATTCATCTCATAACCCTATTTGTAAATCTGTGTCTTTTGAAAAGGTACATTGTTATGTGGTCCAAATGTCTAAACTATAATGTTTAAATCAGATATGGTGTCATACTATGGTGGCTGCAGTACTACGGTGACTGCAGAAGACCACCAGTTTGAGGTCAGCCTGGACTACATCCGGAGACTTTGTTTCCCTTTCCCACTTCTGCCCAAAGACTTTTTTGAATCAGATTTATATATCTCTCTGGATTTTATTTTAAAAATTGCCATTTCTCGATTTTTTAAATGCATAATATATCTTAAATATAGCTGAACATATCTAGTCCATTGTTTTCTAAATTCCTTGAATTTTTTAAGAAAAAATGTACAAAGTATGATTACTACCTTCTCTCCAGTGTATTAAATCTCATCCTGTAATTGCTGGTTTTGTAGCTAACATCTTGTCAGCTGTAGCTACTTCATCTTCATCTTTTCTGTTTGCTATAACTCTTAACACACTGTTGAGGCTCTTTGAATTTGTGTTCATATAGTTGGGAATTTGAACATTTCTATTTTATTTAAAAGTTTGTTTTACATACCAACAAGTTCCCCCTCCTCCAGCCTTCCCCACATACAACTCCCTATCTGCTCTTCAGTTGACTCCATGGGGAGTCAACGAAGTCTTACATATCAAGTTGAGACAGGACCAACCCCCTCCCCCCTATATCTAGTCCTAGCAAGGTCACTCTCCAAAAAGTCAGTTCATGCACTTAGGGATAAATCCTGGTTGCACTGCCCAAGCCACAGAACTGTCACCCGTATTCAGAGGTTCTAGTTCAGTCCTATGCAGGTTCCTCATCTATCAGTCTAGAGTCTGTGAGTTCACCTGGAAACAACCGGAATGCCCCTCACCTGAAGAATGGATAAAGAAAATGTGGTACATTTACACAGTAAATTTTTACTGTGGAGTATTACTCCACAGTAAAAACAAAAAACAAAAAAAAAAAACAATGACATGTTGAAATTTGCAGGCAAATGGATGAAACTAGAAAAAGACATCCTGAGTGAGATAACCCAGATCCAGAAAGATAAACATGCTATGTATGTGCTCATAAGTAGATACTAGACATAAAGGAAAGGATAACCAGGATATAATCCATAACCCCTGAGAAGCTAGGTAACAAGGAAGACCCTGAGAGAGACATGCACGGATGCCCCTGGGAAGGGGAAATAGATAAGATCTGCTGAGTAAACAGTATGGTTGAGTTGGGGGAGGGACAGTGAGGGAGAGCCAAGAAAGGAATCTTGATAGAGGGAACCATTATAGTTTTAAGAAGAAATCTGGTACTAGGGAAACTCCCAAGACTCCACAAGGGTGACTCCAGCTAAGTAAGACGCAAAAGTGGATAGGGTACCTGAACTGGTCTTCCCCTGTAATCAGATTGATGACCACAGTAATTGTCATCATAAAACCTTCATCCAGTAACTGATGGAAGCAGAAGCAGAGATCCACACCTAAGCACTGGTCTGAGCTCTCTGACTCCAGTCAAAGAAAGGGAGGAGGACTCATATGAAAATTTCTTAAGCTGAGATGAGGAGGAACATGACTCTAGTTTATCATAAACTTGTGTTGCACATGTAGAAGTGGATTTTAGAAGAAAAAGCTATTGTCAAGGAGGCCATTTCAGAGATTTGGGTAAGAATGAATGAAGTGTTTATCAATAGGACTCAGATACAGGAATGAATTCAAGAGACTTTTGAAGTAGGCATCCACAAAGTTTGTTTCCAACTGAATTTTCCTGTAGTCACTGTGGATAAGGGACAAAACTTGAGGGTTTGTGGTTTGCATAAGTGGCTCTTGGAAATTCCATTATTACCAGTGATAAAGAAAGGATTGCTGGTACAAAGGAAGGTTTTTATTTGGTGTAGTTTTTATCATAAGTGGCTTATTCTCCCACTGTTCTGTTTGATAGAGATGTGTGTGGACTTCGTAAATATAAAGCACGTAGCATGTAGCTCATTGTTGAATGTGCCTTTTAGTTGTTTTGTTTTCTATTGCATAAAATATGTATTGAGAAATTGGATACACAGTTTCTTAGACAATATATGACAGTTGTTTTATAGTTGTATCCAGAAAGTCAACAATTAATTCAGTGGATTAATGAAATAAGACTTCTGAGAAAGGAGACTGCAAGACTGAATTCAAATCCATAGCTGACTGATAGGAGGGGGGAGAGAGAGAGTAAAAGTTTTCTGATTAGCTGTACACCTCTGTAACCTTAGGCACTTGGTGGGGTGGAAACAGTAGTAATCCAAATGCTGAGAACAGAGAGACAAAACCTTCACCTTGACTTAATTAGGGATTTATTTATTTTTGAGAAAATTTGATAGTGTGTGGGTTGAGTTAAAGAAACATAAATGTCCTAACAAGTTTACTACTGCTCACACAGTACCAGGAGGCATAGTATAGCTATCTCTTTGTAAAATAGTTCTAAACTTTCACATAACCTTAAGATACTCTTATCACCCCATTACAAATTTTTTTAGATTATGATAATTTTCTCTTCCTGTCCCTCCCTTCAAGCCCTCCCATATACTACCCCCATTCTCTTTCAAACTTACGTCCTTTTTAACTTATTATAGCATATATATGTATACACATGTTTATTCTTAAATAGAACCTGCTCGGTTCATAATAATGTTACTGGGCTGGCTATTTGGTACTGGACAACCAATTGTGTGCTCTTCCCTGGGGAAAACCACCTCAGTTGCCTGTGGTTCTTCATATTACCATATTTTATGAAGGAAATTGAGGGTCAAAACACCTAAGTAACTGCCCCAGGATAATCTATATTATGTGGCAGGAAGGGAGTTATTTTAAAGCCCAGGAGGAAATTTTCAGTGTGGTACAGTGAATTATAGCTAGCTGTTTTTTGTTATGAACTGACGATGATAACAATAAAAGGGGCATTTTAGGGTTAACCAGGCAAATGTGTTTGGCGTGAATTGATGACTCATACCTCACCTAATGTGGTTTTTGTACAAGCACCTATATCCTCACTAACCTAAAATATTTTTTAGTCTTGAATGAAAGAAAGAAATATAAAAACTTTACTTAATCATCAACTTTTTTTTAAATCCTAATAGTTTGGAGGATAGAGTTTTTAAAGCATTGAGATACAGTGTAGAGATTTGGCAAGCTTTAACTTTTGGCTTTGAGTTAATTGAATGGGGCATGCAATTATTTCTAGCCTTTATTATAATACAAAGATGTACTTTATTTTCTTGTGTTCAGAAATGTTCTGAAAGCATTAAATAAGATTCTAAAGTTGCCTTTTTTATTTGTAGAAACTATTTTATGTTGTAGTCTGATTTTCATTAAATGTGAGAATAGTAGCATACTTATAGGCAATGTAAGTACTTCATAAAGATGCTGCTAATTAGCTACTTTAATAGCAACAAGATTTAGACTGTAAACTTCAAAGAATTGGTTCAAGATGTTGGAGGAAAGTAAAGAACTCAGTCCCTTCCTTACACACTTGTGCATGTGTACAGACAGGCACACATGCATAATTCAAGGGACAGAGGAGGCAGCTCAGGAAAATGCTTCTCTTGCCTTTTGAGGTGTTACAATTTTTTTGCTTTGAACGGTAGATAATAGTTTATTAAAGCATATGAGTTTATAACCTTTTAGTTATAACCCTCTTCTTTATCCATTAAAAAACAGTACTAGGAATTCAAACACATAAAACAGATTTTACTTTGAACATTTCACCACTGATTTAATTAAACTAACAAATTTTGAAAAGGAATTAAGCTGAGTGGTAATGGTGCACGCCTTTAGTCCAGTACTCTGGAGGCAGAGACATGTGGATCTCAGTGAGTTCAAAGCCAGCTAACCCTTTTTCTTTCAGAGTTGAATTATCACTGCTATCAGTATTTGCTGATATCCCTACCTGTATAAAAACAGACATGAAGTACTCCAAACCATATTATTATTAATACAAAGTGGTAATTGTCTCATTTACTTGTTCTTGTTAAATGATAGGCCTCCATCTAGGACAGTGGTTCTCTACCTGTGGTTACAACCTCTTAGGGGTTGCATACCAGATATTTACATTATGATTCGTAACAATAGCAAAATTATACTTATGAAGTAGCAATGAAAATAATTTTATAGTTAGGGGTCACCACAATATGAGGAACTGATTTAGAGGGTCACAACATTAGGAAGGTTGAGAACCACTCTAATAGGGTCTGCTAACACTGAAGTATGTTTTCTTGCTGTTAGGTAACCATCTGCAACATTGAACAACAGTGCCTAGTATTTAATCAAGTTAACATGTTAAATATTAATACCTTAAAATCCACAAAATAACTAAGGAGTAGTAATTTTATAGATCTTTTTTCCTTTTGGAAGTCTGTGTTGATTCTTGGTATATATTTCCTAAGAGTAATATATAAATGCTTGTTAATTTCATTTCTGTATTTTAATAACAGTCCATGCTTAAAATGTGGGTTCCCTATTTTAACTATCAAGCCCCGTCCACATTGAGAAACAGCAGCCAATAGTACGTCTAGGAATGATGAAAAAAATATATTTATTTATTTATTTATTTATTAAGGTGCATGTTTAGTACTTGGGTCAAATACAAGGGTCTTCATGAAAACCCCTGTTTTAGAAGGATACTATCATTGGGCCACCACTAACTCCAAAATGCAGGAGCTATTTGAGTGGAAAATTTTTGTTAATACATTCTGTTTCTAGAATTGTTTTGATAATTATAGAATGACAGACTCTACAGAGGACTCAAGTTTTGTTCCCAGCACCTATATCAAGTGGCTCACAAACTTTTATATAACTCCATCTCCAGGTGGCCTGATGCCCTCTTCTGGTCTCCACTGGCACTCATATACTGGGCATACATACATGTGTGCATAGACACATGTACATAAATAAAAATAATATATTTTCTGAAGTTATATCCTACAATTTAAAGATATTTTTCAAAATGTAGAAAATAAGCTTTTGAAAGAATAAAAATGACTGATAACCAGGGATTTATCACAAAGACATTTTGCTGTAGCATGTATGTTTAAATGCCAGTATTATTTAATTAAAGAATACCTGTCGAGTTAAATAGATCCTTTAGAAATTCATTTGACCTAAAGTTAGTGGTTGCTGGTAAATTCATCTTGTGGTTAGAAGTCTGCTTATATACAACTTTATATAAATCGACACACACTGTACTTTGGTTCTTAAGCATGTGTGATTAAACGTTGTGATTATACATCTTCTTTATGTGTATGTGTGTCGTTATATAGCTGTATGTATCAGTTCTTCCGGACTCTGAATTCTGTTGCATGATACTTGTTTGTGATATGGGTGGGGTTACCTGTAAGTAAATCTGTGTACATAACATGTCTTGTGGAATTTGCATGCTACACTAATCTTCTGTCAATCTACTCTTTCTTTATTCAGAGTATGCTGTCAAGGTCCTTTAATTCCACTCTTACTGCTGTAAGCAGCTCTCACTATGGCAGCTCTAGGGATCTGCATGGCAGCCAGGGTAGCCTTGCCCTGAGTGTTGCAGACGGAAGAGGTTCTGGTGGGCACATTTTTCGAGTGAGTACCTACAGTAGGCTAGTACTTTTAGCACACACATGAGAAAAATTCAGATCCTAAGTATTTTAACATTTCTAGAGGAAAAGGTTCTGTAAGTTAGAAATCTATGTATTTTCTGGGCCCTTTATGGCTTAGTTCTACAACTTCTGTCTCCACTTTCTTTGGTCATAAGTTAATGATTTAGCCAGGTGTTATTTATAAGTCCAGTAATTAACCATCAGCTAATAAAAAGCACTGTGTACCAAAGTTTAATCATATTTCACTGAATATGACTAAATATGAGACTGGAGAAGTTGTAAAAGTATCAGCAGAAAGGAAACATCCAAATCTTCATTAACCATTTCTTCATGGTTGTAGGTGGCGAAAGATTTACTATCTAGTAAAAGTTTAAGAGTAAGTTATTAAGGACTGCTAAGAATGAACAAAACAAGTCTGTTGAGGCTCAGTAAGACTTAGAGTGGTAGGTGGCACAGCCTCTAAATAAATGTCCCCTTCTGCCCCAAAAGACCTTTCTTCTCTACAGCCTTATTTTATCCCTTCTGGTAGTTTATTTCCACTTTGACTCGTTGGTTGTTCTAGGCTCTTCATTTGTTCCTCAGACCCATTCCACCTTCATCCCTGGCTCTTCCCCGTTATGTTCTAGAGCAGAAGCAGTTTCCTGGGTTCAGTTTGCTGTGGTTGCTCTGAACTGGCCTTGCCCTGTGTGCTCTGCCGTCTGCCATTACTTGGTATCTTTGCTATGTAGCAACAGTGTCATTGAGCCTCTTAATTTAGAAGAAAAGAGTGGTGACTGCTGTGCCAGCCTTTCATTTCAGCAGACCATGAGTGGTGCTTTTTTTTTTTTTTTTTTTTTTTTTGGTTTTTACGAGACAGGGTTTCTCTGTATTGTTTCGGAGGCTATCGGTCCAGCCTGGCCTCGAACTCACAGAGATCCGCCTGCCTCTACCTCCCGAGTGCTGGGATTAAAGGTGTGTGCCACCACTGCCCGGCTGAGTGGTGCTTATTAACTTGGGGAGTCTTTGCTGCTTATGGTCATCTGGATCAATTGTTCTTCCCAAATTTGTTATAACAATAACATTTTGCCCTTATTTTTCTTTGGCCTAAAATCTATACAGACGTTGAATTTTAGTTTTATCTCAAGAAGAGAAGAAAAATGAAATACATACTGTTAATAGACAACATTAGATCAAATCACACCAAAAAATGCTAAGTCATGCTTTGAGCTAGCAACTAACGAGACATGATAGGTCTGTTGCAAATACTATTTTTTAAGATTAAGTTACAAATCCTTAAAATTGTATGTGTTCCATGGTATATCATAATGGAGTGTATTTTGAGTTAGCTTTCAATATAAAATTTACATTTCTTTGCTGCTAAGCATATGCTATTTTGAAAGATTGAAAATAACAGTAAAACTCATATGCCTTATTTTCTAAATTAGGTATGCTTAAAATTAACTTATGGTGAATTAACAGATGTTTTATTCCCATCATATATATAATAATAAATAATCAGGAATAATGACATTTAGCCTTTTTCCTCTAAGGTTATCATTAAGTTAAACTGAATGAGCAAATATTTGCATATGGAGATATGAATTAGTTAATTTTAAGTGTTCCTTTAAAACAGTGCCTTTAAAATTTTGAGCCAGTATTAATGTGGCAAAATTACAGCACAGCAAATTTTATACAGTAGGTTTATTGGTATTGACATGATTGTAATCAAGGGCAATTCTGGGTAGTATGAGATCAAAGCAATACCAATTCATTTTCTTTTAATCAAAAAAAAACCCAACACTTTCTTTAGTACTTAACAGTAATAGACTAGTTGCTTTTAAAATTGGAGAGAATTAGCTTTAACCATTGTCGACAGTTACTGACTAAAGATATTAAATTATGAGTGTAAATGAAACTAAAAGGAAAGAACATGAAATGGTGTGTATTATAAAGGTTAACAATGTCTGTCTTTATAAATTTTTTACACATTACAGGAACAAATGTCTTGCCATGTAACTTTAAAGGAAGCTAAAGGATCTGACTTGCTCATTCTGCAACCTCGCAGTATTTCTTTCTTAATCTTTTTTCATGCGTCATCATCGTTTTGTTTCACATCTTAAAGTATATTATTTGTTTACTTTTTTTCCTTCCTCATTTGAAGCATCCCCCGACATCCAGTCCAGGAGATTCTTGCCAAGATGATAGATTGATTTCAGGAGAGCAGAACTACTCACCAGGTGCACTTAGTCACAAAGATCTTCCAGACAGCTTGATGAAAGTAGGTGTTCACAGCAAGTAAACAAAGTAGTGTCTCTGGTTACTATGGTTTTTCAGGGTTTGAATTTGAAATCTCATACATACTTTGAAAGTATTTTATAAGACCTTTCTTGCTTTCATTATGTAGGACTATTTTTAAATGATCATAAATACAAAATAGGATTTGACTCTGCTGTTTTTCAGTTTATTCCATGATTTTTCACACTAGAGAATTGATTTATAGTGACGTTGCTTGCTATCGTTCCACCTGCTTATTTTAGCATTTGAATCAAGGACACTTTGGCATTCTTCATAATAAACTTAATTGGAGAGTTAGACGATGACTTTGTCTTAAATTGTGCATTCTAGAATATGTTACTGTTAATTAAAAGCATTTGAAAATATAGAATTAGAAATCATCTTGAAAGACCTTTGTATATAGTAGAAGAGGTGATCATTGTATTTTTTAGCATTTTGTAGCAAAAAAAAAAGACTTACAGATAGATTTAATTGTGGCAGTGCCAAAGGTAATTCTTTCTCTCTCAGCTTTTTTTGTTTTAACCAATTACATGCCTATAATGTAACTAGTTATAATAATTATGAGTCATATTTATTATCTACAGCTTGTAAGTTGCTCTTGAGGGTAGGCATCCAGCCATCTGATATGTAAGCTCATACATGTTTATTTATTTTATCCCTTTCCTTTTAATTCAAAGCTGCCATTCAGTTTCTTTTTCTTGTTAACATACCTTACAGCTTAGTTTTTAACCCGTCTTCTTTATTTCACAAGGCATTGGCTAAACATAACATAATATAGTTCTTATGTTTAATACTGTTTTAGACAAAAAATAGATGGGTATCAGCAGCTTTCAAGAATAGGATGGGCTCAGTATGGTGGCATATGTCTGTGTCCTGGCACTTGAAACCCATGGCTGGAAGATGAAGAGTTTGAGGGCAGTGTGGGCTACAAGGTCAGAGAGGGTGAAGCAAGAAAGATGGGTCAGTGGATAAAGGCTCCTGTCCTCGAGTCTGCCAACATGAGGGTCTCTGGAACCACACAGTGGATAGAGAACAGACTCCAGAAAGTTGCTGTGTGACCTTCTATATAAGGCATGACATGCATGCACCTACTTGCTAAAGAATGGTTTTCTTCCTAAACACCAAACCTTATTGTGTCTTTAGCAAGATGCAAGTTCACAGCATAAAGTTCTGAAACTTTTGCCAAACTTCTATTTTTGGATAATTTTTTAAGGAAATTTTGGGTTTTTGCTAATTTCCTTGTGGACAGAAATTCTTCTCTGTTAACCAACAATGAAATGTAAATGATTGAATAATGGAAGCATTTATTTCCTCTTCTGTATAAAAGTCTTTTTACATGTGAACATTTAGAATATGAATGTAGCCTCTTTTTAGCAAGATTCTTTTTTTTTTTTTTTTTTTTTTTTTTGGTTTTACGAGACAGGGTTTCTCTGTTTTTGGAGGCTGTCGGTCCAGCCTGGCCTCGAACTCACAGAGATCCGCCTGTCTCTGCCTCCCGAGTGCCGGGATTAAAGGCGTGTGCCACCAACGCCCGGCGCAAGATTCTTTATAGATGAGAATAAGCCATTTACTACAAAAGTAATCCTAAATCTAAAATTCAGGTACCATTTCTTAATAAATGGGAGGTAGTTCCTTAGTAGCAAACTAATAATCTCAAAAACTTTGCAGTGGACTTTTGTTTTGGGTGGGAAATAAAGTAGAACATCATTGTTTTAACTCTTGTATTTTATAATATTCTATAGAATTAATGTTTAGGGAGCTTGAAAATTACTGATAATGCACACATGGTAAAGAATAAATTAATTTCTATGTAGATAACTGAATTGGCTTATTCTGACAAACAAGAAATAAATTTAGAAAATATATTAAAATTAAGAAAAAGCTACACTCCTGAATTAGTTTCTTTTCTCGAGGAAAAACATTATTTTCATACACCTTTTGTGTATGTATGTTATAATTTGGTATGAGAAAAGGATACCCTTCTAATAAGCTAACATAAGCTTGATTTTTTTGCATATAAAATTTGTTTTATGTATATTGGTAGTTAAACTTTTTCAATATACTTGTTTCCTACTTTTAACATTGGTAAGTGTAACATTAATATCTAACAGAAAAGCAATTAATTTAAAATATAGATGAGGCCTTCATTCAAAGTTGTTAATATATCCAATCAGTAAACATTCAAGCAAGTTTAGAATTAAGATTAATAACTTTGCTTCTTTTGGAAGGTTTAAAATTAGAAGAATAGAGTGAGTAACTCAGTATTTAATGGTGTATAATATTAAAACTCTAGTGCATTTGTTTTGCTCCAAGATGAATATACAAGTACTTGTAATAAGACATTATTGCTGGTCATTTTTAAGATAATTCATGTTTTTCTTAGATGCCTTTAAGTAATGGACAGATGGGCCAGCCTCTCAGGCCTCAGGCAAATTATAGTCAAATACATCATCCCCCTCAGGCATCTGTGGCAAGGCATCCCTCTAGAGAACAACTCATTGATTATTTGATGCTGAAAGTGGCCCACCAGCCTCCATATACACATCCCCATTGTTCTCCTAGACAAGGCCATGAGCTGGCAAAGCAAGAGGTAAGAATTATCAAGACTGTTTGAAATATGAAATTAAACTTTCCATATATTCTTATAGGTTAATAGCAATATATTCATATAGAATTTTAACAGTAGTTTTCACCATTTTGTTTGACGTTTATAAAGTTTAGTTTTCTAAAGTGTTAAAACTTTGTAGTTTTTAACATGGCTTTATGATCATGTAACATAGGATTCAGTGTTGGGGGTGTGGTTTTTAAATTGTAAGGCAGCTGCTTGTCCACAGTGACTTGATGGTGCTCCAGCAGACTTTCTTTTGAGACTGAATAGTAGAGAATTAAAATGAAGTGGTCCTGTTCTACACCAGTCTCAGCTTTTAGATTTGGAAATTCAGCTATAGTCTCCAGGCCACATTGAGAGTTTAATCTTTAAGACATATAGGCCATGATTTCACATGCCTTAATGATTTGTTTATGAAGTGATAACATTGAAACTCTCAGTATTGATCACATTTTGTTTTGACCAAGTCTGTAGTAAGCAGGAGCACCCTGTAACAGAAATGTAGCTTCTATAACCTGCTGTGCCAGCACCTTGAATGCTGAGTCTGGAGGGTGGCTTATGTAAGGCCAGCTTGGATGTACCATACAATCCAGGCTAGCCTGGGCTGTTGTGAAAGCCTGAGTTCAGGCCTGCCTGGTCTACAGAGCAGATTCCAGGCCAGGCAGGGCTCCATGGTGAGAACCTGTCTCAAGAAGAGGAACTGTTTCTGCGTCTCTCATTTTATAGTAGTTTATGGTCTTAAAATCTTTACTCCCCTGAAGCATATAAACAGAAGGAATGGAGAGTTGATTTCCTAAAACCAGCTCTGAATGTTAAGTATCTTATAACACAAGACAGTAGTAGGTAAAGACAGCTTGTAATTTAAGTAAAATTAGATGAAAACTGATGGAAATATGCATACGTGTTCTGAAGGTATGCACCATCCTGTTAAAATCATGCTGGTTAAAAAGTAAGATAGAGGCAATGTCAGTTGATTGACTAGTCATAAGTAAAGTCAGGAGCCACACTGTGTAATCCAGCTGTGCCTTTAACTCACTAACTCATTAACATTAATGATGTTCTGTGTTGTCGCGTCACCTCATCTACCTAAGTGTTTAGTTTTGATGACTCCTTGCATTTTGTTCTTGAACTTAATTCACCAATATTTAAATACAGATGGATGATATTCTACAAATTTTCTGGTATAGTAATATTTCCTTTATTTTCATATTAAATCAGATTCGAGTAAGAGTAGAAAAGGATCCAGAACTTGGATTTAGCATATCAGGAGGTGTCGGGGGTAGAGGAAACCCTTTCAGGCCTGATGATGATGTAAGTTTTTTTTTAATGTCCTTCAACACTCATAATAAGGTCTCATTTATTAATTTCATACTTACTAGGTAAAAATGTAATGTAAATCTATGGAGCTCTTATCCCTTTTCCTTATTATCTTTGTTTGTTTTAATTTTTGCTCATTCCACATTGTTTGAAGGGAAGAATTTAACCAAAAATGTGAATATTAATGATATTACCAAGTGATTTTTAGTTTTGGTACTGCTTCTCCAAAAGTCTGTAAGAGTGATTTCATTGATTGCTAAAGTCAGAATTACTAGGGGCAGAAATTGCATTGACCTGTCAGAGTGGTACTCCGAAAAGTCAGGAGACAGCTCCCATCATGTTTAAGTATTTGCATGGCATTGAAAAAGATTCCCCTTGCTCATGAGTCATGCTGTCAATTGGTAGTTTGGCCTTAAATAATTATTTTTTGTGATTGTTCATTAAAGGGTATATTTGTAACAAGGGTACAGCCTGAAGGACCAGCATCAAAATTACTACAGCCAGGTGATAAAATTATTCAGGTAATTAAATCAACCTTTTTATTTATTTTCTTTCCTTTTACAATAGTTTTATTTTACAATACTTTCTAATGTTTTAGAATTTTAAATATTTCTGCTTTACTCTTTGAAAATCATGTGTATATGTTTGATACATCATTTTGTTTTAAATTTCGAAATGTTAATTTTTACTAATTTAGAGGTGAGATGTCATTATATCTAATAGTAAAATTTCAAAATCTGAGAAACTAATATTGTATTTCCACTTCCTTCCTATGTTACATCAGAAACTTATTTTACCTAAGTACATGCAGTATGGCATTCTCTTAGTACACAATGATAGTCTACTTCCTCCCTCCTACTTTATTAGTTAGTTCAGTTAACAATAAGAAGTAACCAAACCAAAAATGATAGATTGATAGAGCCATTAGAGTTTAGTAGTTGAAAGTGTAGACCACCTCAAATCGAATCTTCACTCAACCCTTTTTAGTGTTAATTCAGTGCCTTCTTCAGCGGTATATACACCAAGATTGGAGTGATTCAAAGGATGACATGCAAATTCATGATATTTTTAAAGATTTTGATTTTTAAATAATTTCAAACTCAGAATACTCACAGGAATTGTATAGCAACAATGATCACACTTAGCTGTATCATCTTTAGTATTCACTTTATTTTAGAACAGGCTTTCTCTTGGGCCACTAACCAGCTTCCAAATTATGACATGAAGACTTGCTAGTTAGGAATGATCAGCCTTAGCTTAGGCATGTTTCTTGCTAGTTTAACCTGTATCTCTTCATCTACATTTTGCCTCAGGACTTTACCTTTCTTTCTATATATCATACTCTGTATCTGGCTGGCTCTGGGTGTCTCCTTCTCTTTTCCCCCTTATTCTCTCGCTCTCCCTTCCCTGGAGCCTAGATTCTTCCTCCTCATTCTCTCTGCCCACTAGCCCTGCCTATCCCTCTATTGTCTAGCTATTGACCATTCAGGTTTTTATTAGACCAGTCAGGTACCTTAAGCAGGCATGGTGAAACAGCAACAACAAATCTTTACATCATTAAAAAGGTGCAGCATAAACTAATGTAACACACGTTTACATAGTTAAATATTCCTCAACCGAAACAAATGTAACACATCTTTCATAGTTGATCAAATGCAGCGTAAACAAATGTAACACACCTTTGCCTAGTTAAACAAATATTCCGCAACATTATTTTCCCTCTATAAATACCTCCCACACTCACATATATAGTTTTTCTGAATAACATCAGAATCTGTGGTTTCAGTTTTGTGAAAAGAAGTTATTATTCCTATCCAAACATTGCTGGATTTTCTTTTCTTTTTTTTAAAATTGTTTATAAGAATATTTTTATTTAAATTAGAAACAAGCTTGTTTTACAAGTCAATCCTAGTTCCCTCTCCCTCCTCTCTTCCCCTGCCTCCCACCAACCTTCTATCCCATCCCCTTTTTGTTCCCCAGGGAGGGTGAGGCCTTTCATGGGGGATCTTCAAAGTCTGTCATATTACGAGCAGGGCCTAGACCCTTCCCCATGTGTCTAAGCTGAAAGAGTATCCCTCTATGTGGAATGGACTCCCAAAGTCCATTTGCATGCCTGTGATAAATACTGAGAGTGTATCCCTCTATGTAGAATGGGTTCCCAAAGTCTATTCGTATACTCTCGATAAATACTAATCCACTACCAGAAGCCCCATAGATTGCCCACACCTCCTCACTGACACCCACATTCAGAGAATCTGTGTAAGTCCTATGTTGCTTTCCCAGCTATCAGTCTGGGGTCCATGAGATCCCGCTTGTTTAGGTCAGCCTGGTCTTGACAACCCTTTGCTCATCACTCCTCCCTCTCTGCAATTGGAATTCTGGAGTTCAGCTCAGTGTTTAGCTGTGGGTATCTGTTTCTGCTTCCATCAGCTACTACATTCCTGGGTTTTCAATCCTCTGAAATAAGATGAAGAATCTTTAGTGTTGTCTTTAATCTATAGTGTTCTCTTTAAGAATGAAAGGATTTAATTCATATGCAGCACTTCAACATGTGTGTCTGGTGCAGAGTTAGAACTCCATAAATGCTAACTAACCATATATGCTGGCCTTGAACCAATGACTCCAATGAATGAGAAATCTGGATACTGCCTTCAGTTACCCTTGCAGTTTGGTAGACTTGGATGTACCTTGACAAATACACACAACACCCTATACGATCCTGTGCACACTTCATGAGTGTAGAGGTCTGAGAACAACTTGAAGCTGTCATTTGTCTCCTTTTGCGATGTTGGTCCCCAGACTCAAACTCAGGGCTTCCAACAGGGAGTCAAATGGCTTTACTCTCTGAACTATCTCATCAGCCAGTGTTGTTTTAATTTTACTAAACTGGCTCTTTTTTCTGACACATTGTGAACTGTCTGTCAGAAATTTACAACTAGAAATGCAAATGTGTTTCTAAGATTTTTCCTAAAAGTTTTTTCCCTTTCTTCTAGGCTAATGGCTACAGTTTTATCAACATTGAACATGGACAAGCAGTGTCCTTGTTAAAAACTTTCCAGAACACAGTAGAACTCATCATTGTACGAGAAGTTTCTTCGTAAGCACTGTAGACAAAAAATAAATAAAAGAAGATTTATTGGAAGACACTTGCAGGGGAAATGACAATTTTGCTTATTTTTATATATAAAGAAGAACCCAGACAGTTGGCGTGGAGCTTGTACATTACCGAAATAACGGAGCTTGTGGTTAGAGGGAAAGAACCACTGTACAGAAGATGAAAGAGACTGTTGCATTCATATATGAAATTTGTTGTTAGGTTTTAAACTCAGCAAATCAAGGCTACAAAAACAAAATTAGGTTGTTTTTGTATAGATTGTAGGTTTATTTTTGGATTTCATACACATGACTGACTGTACGCAAGGCGATAGTTAGCCTTGATTGTAGCCCAGAGACAGATGGCAGAGCTATCTATCTCATAGCTTTTGTGCCCTTATTTTTATCCAACTGGTATTAATGTTTTTTCTGCCGAACTACTTCTTTCCATGTGGGTAAGAGATTTGAAGTGTTGGCTTTTGCTATGTGCATACTGAAGAGTGGCTAGATGAAGTTGGTGCTGATGGGTTCACTTTCCGAGGCCGGATTAAAACATTATTTCCTATAAAATCTGAGGCTAACAGTGAAAAAAAGTTATCTGATAATGTATTTTTATTAATAGGACAATGCAATAAAATACATGTCTTTTTAAAAGACAATAATTGCATTTTTGAGCTCTACATGATCAATTCTTGTTGTAGCTGTTGACTATACATTTGCTACTGGTGAGTCAATTTCTAATTTTTTTAGTTACTGAAGTTTTTAACTTTAATGTAGATGCATGTCTACGCATTTCCCTTACTATGAAGTTCCCTGATTTTTTTTCTTTAGCAAATGGTGGTACTTGCAATCTTATAATTTTTATAATTAGTTTCCATCATAATCTAATTTATAATTTTTTGTTTCAAGAAGCAAATGAAACTAAAAGGCCAGTTTTAAGATTATGTATGTAGCTTATAACACAGTGTCAGAAGGTTTAGGAAAGCCTCTTGATTTTGTTCGGCCTGGCATTGCCTTGGTAAAGTGAATGGAAACGTGAAGTGTGCATGGAGCTAGGAAACCAAAGCAAGTCTGAGACTGGCACAGGGACAGAGAATTGCTGTGGGGAGTTGCAGAACAAAGGGATGGTCCTTGAGGCCTACCGGTGTGTAAAGTGTCCAGATAAAGGGCTGTTCCTACAGATACACTCAATGTGAACTCCACACTTCAGAGTCAAAGGGTTTCTAAATGTGTCAGCGTGCTTAATAGTGTTACCACCAATTGCCTTTGTTCCCGTTACTGTAGCAAGTATTTGATGATGGAGGTCATTAATTTTGTTTATATTCAAATCATTGATTTTATTTGCTTTTGTTTTATGTAATCAAATAAAATTTGAATGACATGCAGGGGTAAGAATTAATGCATGGTTATTTGGGCCAGAAGAAAGTGCCATAGGAGACCAGCAACTGTTTTTAGTTGAGGCTAGTCTGAAAACTTTTGCTAGAGCAATAGTCAGTTCTTGAATTCATTTTTTAATTTCTGAGATGCATAATTTGGGTATTTCTAATGTGTATGCTTTTTGCTTAGTTGAGATTTTTTTAGAGGACTAGCTAAAACACCACCTGCATTATTTTTACAAAATGAGTGGGAAACATTTCCATTCCTAGTCAGAATAGTCAGCACTTTTAAAAATATTGGAGCTCAAATATTGCACTCCTTTCAAGCTGTTATAAATTGGGCATTGTACTGTATAGTTTTAATAATCTTGATTGAAACCCTTTAACAACTTTGTAAATTTTAACTCATTTTAGTTGATTTTTCAGTACTATTTACATAGGAATTGATTTTTATGAATATAGTAGAAGAAATGTGCTGTATTTTGATAAAATTCACTTGTATGTGTTGTAATCTCTAAAACAAAGAATGACAAACAGCTTCTTTAATATGTCTCAGTGTTCCCTTTATTCTTATTGTATGTCGGCATTGTAAGATAATCAGACTCTCCCTTTATTGACTTCACATTTTCACAATCACTTTTAATTAAGCATAATTAGGGCTGGAGAGATGGCTCAGAGGTTAAGAGCACTGGGTGTTCTTCCAGAGGACGTAAATTCACTTCCCAGCAAACACATGGTGGCTCACAACCATCTGTAAATGAGATCTGGCGCCCTCTTCTGGCATGCAGGCATACAAACACCCTGTATACATAATAAATAAATCTAAATATAAAAAATAATTAAGCATAATTAAAGTAGATATAATTACACAGTTTTCAATGATCTGACCTTAAACTAGAATTTTTATTTTAATTTTGCAAAAGGAGTTAGGCTTCACAGAACCAGGGCTTCCTCTGTGATACACTCTTCATATTCCATTGAGATATTATGAGTACAACAGATGTTATATGCACTATTATTTTAGTCCACTGTGGTTCCTTTTAATTTTGGTATATTCTTGAAAGTTGAATAATCAAGTTTGTTGCCAAAGTTTGGAATAATATATAATATAGAGTAAAAGAAAAATTCTAAATAGTAAAATGTTACACTTAAACTAATACCCAAAGTTTTCTTACAGAATATAGGGGGTGGAGTGAGACTTAAAATTACTCTTTGTGAGAATTACAAAGTTTGAGTAATAATCTGTATCCTGTGAAGAATTGCAGAAGCCATTCTTAGTTTATATTGTTTATTAAATTGTAGTAACAGCCATGCTCAAAACTTACTTTGACTACTACTGTGCAACAGGTTTTCAAAACCTGAATTACCTTGTTTGTAGTAACTGTTTAAATGTGGTGCTCCAATTAGTAGAGAATTGTACCAGTCAGGATGATCATTGAGGGGCTGGAGGGGACACTTGATCTGGAAGTTACTTTCCTCATGAGATAAGAACCTAGGTGTGGGTCTCTAGGACCCACATAAAATGCCTAAGCGTGGCAGTATATGCCTGTAATTCCAGCTCCAAGGAGACAAAGAGACAGGGACTCCCTGAAGCATACTGTCTAGCCAGTCTAGCAGACTCTGAACTTCAGGTTCAGTGAGAGACTCTGTCTCAAAAAAATAAATAAATGTAAGGTGAAGAGCTATTGAGAAGATACCCAGTATCAGACTCCAGCCTATTCACATATGTACATGCACAGTTGCATACATAAACATGTATGTACCGTATTGTATTCTGGTGTTTGTTTAAACTTGGTTCCTCTGCTTGCTGGAGTATTCAGAAAGTGTCAATCAGTACCAGGTGCCTTATTAGTTTCCTTCTCCTGGTTGTAACACAGTCGGCTTAAGGGCTTATTTTGGCTCCAAATTTGAGGGTCATTACAGAAATCTTAGCTAGAGCGTGAGGCAGTCATCACACTGCTTCTGCAGTTCAGAAGCAGAGAGAATTGAATTCTGGAATTCAGCTTACTTTTACACTTTATCCAATATGAAACCCTACCCTGTGGACTGTTCCCCCGCCCCCTAGGGTTGTGTCTTCCTTCCCTAGTTTAGCTCTTCTGGTTCCTCAAAGACACACCTTGGGGTCATTCTGAATCCAGCCAAGTTGGCAGTAGGGATATTTGCCTGTCACAGTATCTATTAAGGTTTAGCATTTTGGAAATTTCTTACTCTTTTTGGCCTGTTTTGTTTTTTTAACCTTTTCCTATCTGAAGTTTTGAAGACACAATTACAGCGGTTCCTTACAAGTTTTAAATACTGATTTCTTAAATTTTGATATAGGAGTACTTGAAACAGAGTTCTGGTATGTGACCCAGTAAGTCTGCAAAATCAGTATGTAGCTAGAGCTATGAATCTCCCTGCCTCTACTTTCTTAGTGCTGGCATTGCTCGCTTGTGTCTCAGTGTCTGGACTTCTTATTGTAGACATAAACATGTCCCAGTCCACAGTATGGTCACCATTGTTGTTAGTATCTTGTTTTTTTTGTTGTTGTTGTTGTTAAAGATTTAATATGCATATGATCAAATCTTATTTATACTTCATTATTCTTAATAAAATCTTTATGCCCAAGTCACAAAGCTCTTCCATGTTTACTTCCGTTAGCAGTATAGAATTTCCTTTATCATCTAGACCCTTAATCCGTCTTATATTTATCACTGGATGTTGGGTCAGGTGGAGATCCATCTACATGGTCTCTGTATCAACTATACACTTCAGAATACACTTAATTTATGTGTATTGGTGTTTTTCCTGCACATATGCCTATGTGCCACATGGTCAGTGACCAAGGAGACAAAATTGCACATTGGATCTCCTACCACTAGAATTAGAGATGGTCATGAGCCACCATGTACATGCTGGGAATTGAACCCCGGGCCCCGTAAAAGAGTTAGGAGTGCTCATAACCTCTGAAGCATCTCTCCGGCCCCAACCTTACTTCTTGTATTGTCTGCAATGTGAATTTTATCACCTATCAAGTACCTGTATGTACAGAACTTTCTGAGCATCTGCCTTATATTGTCCTAGAAAAGTTGTAAAGTTTATAGTGAATACCCATCTGTGTTCCCTAAATAACTTACTATATTACTTGCTTTTATGTATCATGTAAAGCCTACATGCATCTTAATATTTTACACCAGCATTTCTCCTCAAGCTTGATTGAAGTTCCTGACTGTAGTTCTAGTGTTGATTGAAGCTCTCGTCTGAAGCTCTGGCCAGATTGTAGAAGATGTCCTGTTCCAGTTCCTTGGTCCAGAGTTGTGTCATGATGTAGTTTCAAGCCAGTTTCAGGATAGTGCTTGTCAGATGGAGTCGATGATGTGGGGCAGTTCAGATGCCTCCAGTCGAATCAGGTGGAGTCAAGGAAGTGGATCCTCATTCTCTTTCTGAAGCAGTTGAAGATTGCTGTCAGGAAATCCCTTGTTCTCTGGAAAACTCAAACATTAATGTTAACAAAGAAATATTTTAACTGTTATATGTATGCATACTGGAAGAGGTGACAATAGGGAAGATGATAAACATGAAGGAAATTAGACTTTTCAGAAAAAGAAATCCACAGATAACAGTCTGTAATTTTATTTTCTTCTGTCTTATATCAATGGCTCTTTGATATAATACAGAAATTCTGAATGTTATTTAAATAATATGCTTGAATTTAGAGTAGGAGAGCCAATCCAACTCCAAAGCCAGCTTTGGTTAAATGAATGGGGACTGAAGTATATGAAGAAACAAAGATAAAAGGGTACTACAAAAAAACAAAATAGAGAGATTTATACTTTGATACCACACAGTGAGTTACTGTTTGTTTGATGGTCCTCAGGGTAGCTATTCATTCTTCTTCAGGAATCCATATGTCCAGTATTCTTTGCTGAGTTTACCTGTGAAGACAAAAAACAAAACACTTCTCTTTCCTTTTAGGAGGTCACTTTACCCATGGTAGAATATGAATTTGTAGATGAGCTCTTATCTTCCTCCTCCTGAGATATCTTCTGTTCTGATCGAATCTTAATTAATTTTGATGGAACCCAAAGCTTTTCTTCTCCTGTGGAAACAAAAGCAAAACCTCTTCCCCAATATAACACATATCCTGGTTTCCAGACTGAGGTCATAACATCCTTAAAATACACTGGTTGGTTCAGTTAAGAAGTCTTCTCTGTAGTCCAGTGTCTTTCTGCTGCAGTTTGTCCTTTTTCATCAGCATTAAGAAAATTCAGTGTTAGTAAAGCATTATGTAACCTGTGTTTGGGGGTCTTTGTTCTCCCTGGCTGTTTATGAAGCATCTCTTTTAAGGTTCGGTTAGATCTTTCAATCACTGCTTGTCCTGTGGGATTGTAAGGTATACCCGTTACATGTTTTATAATATTTGAAAAATTGTTCCAATTTACTGGAGACATATGCTGGAGCATTGTCAGTTTTTGTTTTAGGTATACCCATAACAGCCATAACCTCTAAGAGGTGTGTAATAACACAATCAGCTTTTTCAGAGCTGAGGGCAGTAGCCCATTGGAAGCCTGAGAACGTGTCTATGGTATGGTGTACATATTTCAACTGCCAAATTCTGGGAAGTGAAAAACATCCATTTGCAAAAGTTCATTTCTGTGAATACCTTTAGGATTACAACCTGCTGGTAATGGAGTTTGATTGTGGAATGAGCAACTGGGGCAATTTCTTACTATTTCTTTGGTTTGTTGCCAGGTGATAGAAAAATCCTTCTTTAAGCCTTTGCTGTTAACATGGTGTTTCTTATGAAATTCTGAAGCTTCCGACACATTACCTACTAATAAACGATCAATTTCATCATTGCCTTGTGCCAGACCACCTGGCAGACCTGTATGGGATCTGATGTGTTATATATATATAGGATGAGTCCTGTTTCTAATGGTTTCCTGTAATTGTAAAAACAATGAGGTTAATTCTGTACTATCAGGAACAAATTCTACAGTCTCAATGTGCAAGACAACTCTTTCTGCATACTGAGAATCCGTGACTATATTGAGAGGCTCTGTAAAGTCTTTAAGTACCATGAGAATGGCATATAACTCTGCCTTTTGTGTGGAGTTTTAAGGGCTTTGAACTACTTTAATTATATTTCCTGATTTATACCCTGCCTTACCTGATTTGTTTGCATCCGTGTAGAAGGTAACAACTCCAGAAATAGGTGTTTGCCTCACGATACGTGGAAGAATCCAAATTGTTTTCTTTATGAATTTGATTCTCTCTGTTTTGGGATAGTTATTACTAATACTTCCCAAAAAGTCACTGCAAGCTATTTGCCAATACTCATTATCCTTCCTTCAATAAGGAGGAAATTTCCTCATTAGTTAAAGGTACAATAATTTCAGCTGGGTCTTTCCCAGTCAGTTGACAAAGCCTTAGCTTACCTTTTAATATCAAATCAGAGATCTTTTCTATATATGTTTTCAATTTTTTATTCTGTTTATGTGGCAGAAATACCCATTCTAGTATGTCTTCCTTCTGCATTAATATTCCTGAGGGGTATTCTCTAGATGGTAAAATAAACAGAATACAGTCCAGCTTTGGATCCACACAGTCCACATGTGCTTCTAATATTTTCTTTTCTACCCATTCTAATTCTTTTTCAGCCTCAGCTGATAGTACTCGTGGGCTGTTTAGGTCTTTATCTCCTTGTAAAGCCATTTTCAGGTGTTTTAAATCATGGACTTCTACATCGATAATTGTCTGTAATTGAGAGATTTCTTCTAATAGTTTTTGAAGATCATTAAGAGTCCGGTAACGATCTCTTCTGATCTGTACTTTCTGCGGTCTAATTTTCTGAGTGTCTATTTTATAACATAAATAGTTAATAGAATCTCCTCTTTGTATTTTTTTTCTGGGGCAATTTGTAATCCCCAGCAAGGCAAAGTTTCCTTTACTACTTCAAACATCTTTTTCAAAGTATCCTTATTTGAATCAGACAGTAATATGTCATCCATATAATGATATATTAACGAATGTGGAACGTTTTTACAAAGTATTTCTGGTGGTTTATGCACAAAATATTGACACAAAGTTGGGCTATTTAACATACCTTGAGGTAGTACCTTCCACTGGAACCCCTGTACCGTTCAGGAATTATTATAGGTAGGTACCGTGAAGGCAAACTTTTCTCTGTCATTTTCTTGTAATGGTATGGTGAAGAAGCAATCTTTTAAGTCTATAACTATAACTGGCCAACCAATCCTTAGGTATTAGAGAAGGTAACAGCATCCAGGTTGTAGAGACCCCATAGGCTGAATTACCTTGTTGATGGCTCTAAGATCTTACCAGACTTCTTGATAACAAAAACAGGTGAATTCCATGCACTAGTGATTCCTCAATATGTCCAGCATCTAGCTGTTCCTGAACTAACTTCTCCAAAGCCTCTAACTTCTCAGATGTCATAGGCCATTGACCCACCCAGATAGGTTCATCTGTCAGCCATTTTAATGGTAGAGCTTTTGGTTGCTCTGTAGGTTTGGCACTAGCATCCTGCTTCTGTACAGCCTGTACATTTGGCATCGGTTTTCTGTACTGCCTTACTATATTCTTTCTACCACCAAGAGCTTGTCTATAATTCCTAGCTGATACAGGAGGAATGTTAATCTGAGTATTCCATTGCTGTAATAGATCACGACCCCAGAGGTTTATAGCAATATCTGCAACATATGGCTTTAACCTTTCTATCCTTCTGGCCCAATAAAGTCAATCCATCTAACGCTCTGTTTAACTTGAGAGAGGGTTCCAATCCCTAAGAATTGAACGTTAACCTCTTTTAAAGCTCAATTTGGGGGCCAAGACTTCTGATTCATGATGGTGATGTCACTTCCGGTGTCTAAAATGCCGTTAATCACCATATTATTTACTTTAACTGGTAATGTGGGTCTATGATATTGTATAGAAGTTTACCAGAATATACGTTTTGTATTTCCTCCTGATATAATTGATTCATCCTCTGGTGCTAATGTATTATCCAGTGCCATATTATTTACAATGGGCAGTGGATCTTCTAATTGTCCTGGGAGAGGCTGTCCTCCACTGTCACTGGGAATGATCGGATAATCTTGTTTTTTGGGGCCTGCTTGAGGCCCCGATTTACATTTCCCAGCTGTAAAGGTCTACCTTGTCTATCTGTAGTCGACCAGCATTCCTTGGTCCAATGTTTTCCCATTCCACACCTCCTACAGAGACCAGGAGGCTGAGGCCTTTTGTTTGATGCATTCCTTGTAAAAGCATTATTTCTAGGAATGAGTTGTCTACAGTTCCTACTCAGATGTCCTATTTTACCACAGTTAAAGCACGTGGCATCTTTATGTCTGTTAAAATTTTTGGTGATTGCCTCCCCTACCCAGGCCTCTATATCGTCACGGGTAGGGTATTTGGCATCCTGGTGCCTCCTCAAGCCTGTAGAAATAGCTTCACCTACCCAAGCTCCCGTATCCTGACTTTTACATTCCAGGTTCGCTGTATATAGGACCCATTCCTCCATTGGCGCTGATCTTATTTTTAATGGCCAAAATACCTGCCTGCATTGTGGATTTGCATTCTCATATGCCAAAGATTCTATAAGGAGT